AGATGGGGGAATGGCAAGTTGCAGAGGAGCAATCACCAGGATCCCCTGAGGAGACCATCCTGCCTGCCCCCGAGGTCTTCTCCAGTGAACTGTCCCATTGTGACAACCCTCAGGCTGACGGGGCTCTCTTGCCACTCTGTGCCACCATCTGGCCACAGGGAGGCGGGCACTGGGAGCGAGAGAGCTCTGGGGCTCTGAGAGGGCATCAGACCTGCCACGCACACACAGGCAGACCACAAGAAACTCCAGCTGGGTGAGATATTTAAATGTAAAAAATGAAACCATGCGAGTGTCACAGAAAACACAGATTAATAGTTACATACTCTTGGGGTAGGAGAGAGCTAAGCTAACGGCAAGTGCAGAAACCAGAGTGACCACCTCAGCAAAACTGCATACTTTTGTGTGTCTGAAACACAATAAACAAAACAAAAAGGCAATCTACAACTGGGGAAAATATTTGCACCAAACATAACCAAGCATTAGCAGTTTCCTTCATGTGTAACTGCTTTTACAAAACAACCGATAGAAAAATGAGCGATTAAGCAGCAGAAACTCACACACATGCACACCCAGAAGTGCAAATGGCCCAACACGTAGGGGATGTTCCATCTCACCAGCAGAGGAGCAGTGCTCAGATCCACAGGTAAAGCAGCCTGGATCCACCCAAGGAGCAAAGGTTTTTAATATGGTTATACCCCAGCTTCTAAGGAAAAGTGAAGGCAAGTTCACCTCACTAGAGAGAACGCTAATTTAGAAACCCCTCTCCTGAAGGCGAGTTAGCAATGGGAACCTAGTTTTCCTGTCTCCCACAGAAAAAACAGACGTGATCAAGTTTGAGGCACAGCGAAGGTCATCACAGCATTACTTCCTAAGACAAAAAAGCCACTGGAAAATAACTTACATGTCACCTAAATGAGAATGTTCAAATGGAGACAGTCATACAATGGAACAATATGTCACCACTAAAAAAGACGCTTCAAATGACAGGAAAAGATGTTCACTATATATTAAATGAAAAGACTTGCAAAACAGAATTTACAGTATAATCCCATTTTTGTATAAAAATGCATATGTCCTATGCATAGGAAGTAACTCTAGAAGCAAATATGCCAATAATAATTTGTTAGAAGATTATTGAGGACTTCGTTTTTTCAATTGTCTTATTTGTAAACTTCACAATAAACCCTTTGTACACATGAGAATTCAAGACTTATTTAAAAGCGAGGGAAGGCGGTGCAGAGCTGAGGGGCCTGGAGAGTGAAGGCCTGTGGCAGGCTAGAAGGTGGTGGAGTGCCACCCCACTCAGAGGAGAGTCAATGCCACACTCCTGGGGACACACAGCTTCACGTCTTTCTTATTTGGGGTTATTTTGCCATGTTCATTTTACCATTTCCAGACTGTATCAGTATATTTTTGTGTTTTAAATACGAAAATTTATAACATACCACAAACACCTGTAAGCCTATTTTGGCATTTCATTTAGTATCAGCATCACACAAGAAGTACTCTGCAAGGCCAGAGGTTACCATTTCCTCCAGGGACTTCAGCACACAGAGGTTAGCCCCGGCACTTCATAAAAGATCCTAGGAGTCCCTTAATGGCCAGTCACTTAAGACAAACCCAGGGTGGCTGACAGGGTGGAGTAGGGGTCAGTGATTGTCTGACCCAGCCCCCCTTTTTGTAACACAGGCCATTTCTGCAGTTCTCAGTGTGTCCAACCTGGGCACACAGAGGAGCATCCACTGATACTTACTTTTGCTATTCCTATGTCCCACTCCTTTTAATTTGCATCAGATCACCATTTTCTACTAACTGCCATAAGCCCACTGAGGTTCACTGTATCATTCAGCGCCCCTGGGAGTCCAGGGGAAAGGCTGAATTCAGATCTCTGCACGAGGATGCAAGCTGATTAGCGATAATCACCAACTGCTGCCATCAACACCTGCGGCCCATCCCACCTGTCATGTGGATATCTGAGGGTAAAGATCAGGCAGGCGGCACCATCTCAGGAGCTCCCGGGTTGGGTGGAGGCCAGGAGGGTGTGAGCACAGCCTTCCGCTGCCTGCTCTCTGCTCCATTAACAAACCCCACTTCACAACCTCTCCAGTGCCAAACATTTATACTCGTGTGGACAAATTCTTCATCAGCCCGCCACAGTTGCTAGGAAACAGGCCACTTACACAGAGGGGTTTACAAGAGTGACCCTCAAGGTCGGAAGCAAGAGTTTTCTAACCATTGTATAAAAGACGAGAAACAAGTTCTGAAGAGGGCAAGGCAGGTGGGCAGGGGTGGGGTTGGGGTAAAAAGCAAAGTGGTAAGGTAGGAAAGGAGGCCTAGATTGTTCTGCGGGGTGGGGAACGGGGTGGTGAGCAGGGAAGGGAGCCTTGAACCTGCCCATGGCAGTGCGCATCTCAGCAGAGCCATGAGCTGGGCAGGCGGTTTGCTGATGGGCACAGCAGCTGCCTCCTCCCCAGCACCTAACTGCAGTTTCTCTTTGCACGCGCACGCGCGGTTCACAAGGACCAAGGACTGACGAGGCAGGCAAACAAGACCCCAGGAGGGAGGACAGCAGCCAGCCCCAGGGCTACTCTCTCCAAGGGGAGTAAGTCTTCAGGCCATGCTCTCCCACCCCTTTGTTTTGGTCCCATTTCAGGTCTCATCTCCCCTGCCCAGTCAACGGTTCCTCTCCACTCCCTGGGAAACAAGTGTTCTTAGCCAGAGGCTGACAGTGGCTTCTATTCCGAGCCTCACTGAAGGAGACCTGGCATGAAATGTGGTTGTTCTTGCACGCGAGGCATCCACAAGACTGGCTGGACTTTTCTGCAAACAGAATGTTCTGCCTGGTGAACTCACAAGGCTCCAGGGAAAAGATTCCTTGCAAACAAGAATGTTTTATCAGCTCCTCAAAAGGAGCAAGCCTGGGACCTTGGCAGTTTGAAACATTATGAAGGAACCTGTTATGAACAGATGTGTAGGGGAAAGGTCATTATTGTGGGACGCTTGTGCAGGCTTAGGTCGCTGACTCACTGCTTTGGCAAAAGGCCGGCTTTGTTTAGGGGCTATAAGAATAAAGAGCCCGGCTAGCTCGGGGTATAGAGTATAGAGAAGAAGACTACTGCACAGCAACCGGTGTTCGTGTATTCATTTCGTCAGCAACATCTGGCGCCCAACGTGGGTCTCGACCAGACTGAAAGGGTAAGCACCCCGGGCATTGCGAAAGGGGGACTTTCAGGATCTGACAAAACCGAAAGGGACTTCACCCTGGAAAAGTGAAAGGGGGACTGTCGGGAATAAATAAATCATGGGGAATTCTAATTCCCTAAGGTCACAGTATTTAGACCTCATAAAGGGACTCCTTAAGTCCATCGGTATAAAAGCGTCTTCTCGGCGCTTGAATGAATTATTTCGGCATATTGAATGCCATTGTTATTGGTTTCGTCATCAGACAAAGGCTCAGTTAAGTTTGGGGGAGTGGAAGCAAGTTCAAAAGGAGTTGCGGAAGCAACATCAGCGGGGAAACGTTATGTCTCTTAAACTCTGGACTCTCTGTAGCGCCGTTACTCAGGCGCTTGAAATTTTTGAAACAGATAGTGAGGTTAACTCCCGTCGTAGTGAGGCTCATTATGAGGACGTTCCGGTGGAAGGAGGAGATGAAAAGGAGGGGTCTTTCCCTCCCCCTCCGCTGGAGCCTCCTGATGGGATTTCTAAGTCTAGCTCAGATTCTGAGGATAGTGACGAGGAGGAAGAAGAAGATAAATTGATTTCCAAAATGGCTACTCCCTTGAAACCTCAGCGGCAGGGCACTTGTTTCAATTGTGGGCCGTTTCTGGACATTTGACTCTATGGACTAATAATTTTACCTTAAATGTGTCTCAAAGTTCTAGATCTTTTTCAGGTTCATCTGCATAAGAATAACACCTACACTGCAACTGCTTGCGTCAAATTTCCCTATTCCTTATTATCAGGGAAAATTATGTTAAATGTTACAGAGGGATATGTAAATTGTACTGCTGATTGTGTCTTTACTCAATGTGTAAACAAAACTTGGTGGGAGACAATCAAAGATACCAACAAATCTGTAATAATTGTAAAAGCTCGTTCCGAGCTTTGGATGCCTGTTAATCTGACACGTCCTTGGTCTGACTCTATTGCTGTTTCACATCTGTATGATGCCCTTCAAGTTGTTCTACGTCGCTCCCGTCGACTAGTGGGATTGATCGTCACGACTATCCTTGCGGTTGCATCCGTTACTGCGACGGCCGCTGTGGCCAGCCTGGCACTGCAGCAAGAGATACAAACTGCGGACTTTATCAGGGAATGGCATAAAGACTCTCATGCCTTATGGCAACAGCAAAAGGACTTAGATGCTCAATTAGCTACAGATGTAATTAACTTGCAACATACTGTATCTTGGTTAGGAGATCAACCGACAGTTCTTGCTACCCGCAGTATATTGAAATGTGATTGGAATTCTACACAAATGTGTCACCCCACTGCATTTTAACATGTCAGAAGGATGGGAAAAGATTAAGTGCTCTTTACGGGGTCATCAAAATTTAACTGCAGAGATAATGCAACTTGAACAATCTCTTGCAGACACTTTCAGTAAAGAATTGCCTAAATTGACTGGGGATGACCTGTTAAAGGGACCGCAGGAGGGGTTAAACCGTTTGAATCCCTTGGGGCATGTAAATACGCTATTGTCTACTTCTTTGGGAAATCTGGTGCTAATATTGATTTTATGCTTGCTTCTCTATGTAGTCTTCCGGCGCTGGAGAAAGCGACAACAACTAAAAGGTATCGTTAAGACCGTTGCACATGCTGTCCGTCAAAATGCCAACAAAAGAGGGGGAGATGAAGGAGACCTGGCATGAAATGTGGTTGTTCTTGCACGCGAGGCATCCACAAGACTTGCTGGACTTTTCTGCAAACAGAATGTTCTGCCTGGTGAACTCACAAGGCTCCAGGGAAAACATTGCTTGCAAACAAGAATGTTTTATCAGCTCCTCAAAAGGAGCAAGCCTGGGACCTTGGCAGTTTGAAACATTATGAAGGAACCTGTTATGAACAGATGTGTAGGGGAAAGGTCATTATTGTGGGACGCTTGTGCAGGCTTAGGTCGCTGACTCACTGCTTTGGCAAAAGGCCGGCTTTGTTTAGGGGCTATAAGAATAAAGAGCCCGGCTAGCTCGGGGTATAGAGTATAGAGAAGAAGACTACTGCACAGCAACCGGTGTTCGTGTATTCATTTCATCAGCAACACCTCACAGTTTGTCTCCTCTGAGGCAAAACCTTACAGCCTGAGTACACACATTAACAGTAGTACAAGGAATCAGCTCCCAGGATGACACGCTGCTGCCACATCCCCACCCAGGACCCAGAATGGATTTAGTCATGACCCAGCTGTGGATTCCTAGAGCTTCTACTCAGGCCCTTGGCAGTCTTGGCCAGCTCGGACACCGCTTACACAATCGAGCCCAAACTTTCATCAGGCACCGAAGAAGAAAATTTAAGCCAAAGCCTAACTCTTTAGTAAGTTGAGACTTCTGTGCTTAGACCCAAATCCCAGATACATTCGTGTCCCAAAGACCCACAAATACGGAAAAAAAACACATTCCACGTCCATTCTCCTCTTATTTAGACTGTTTCTCTTCTCCTAAACAAATGAGAATAAAAATAGGTCCCCTTTAGGACAATACCATTTCGAAAGGTAACCAGACAAACCCCCAGGATACTACAAAGTACTCTCCCACCTTGACACTGACCTTCATCGGCCAGGTGGTTCAGCACTGACATTTTCCGCAATCTGTTTTGCACTCCCAACAGAGGGCAGAACGCCTCCCCGCCCACCATTCAGGACATTCCAGTTCCGTTCAAGGTTACCACACTCGACAGAGTGACCCCAATTCGCCGGAGCTACTGAAAAGTGAATTTAGGCCTAAATCTACAATAAGATACATCGAATTTCATTATGAAGGCAACTTGATTTACAGAAAAGATAAAGGCCGAAAAACATAACATAGCAATACAACAATTCCAATGAGTTTACAACTCAAACCTTTATTTGTTCTGTAAAGGGGAAGAAAAATGATTAGTAATCACGTACATGATGCACCACGACCAGCTCTTACCATACAGGACATACAATTACTTTAACCATCTAGTTTTACAGTTTCAATTTCACAACAGTGTACCAGAACATATTTCCTCACACACCCATGACTAACACTCTGTAAACGCCAATGACAGTAATTATACCACGCCCAAGTCACAGGTTAAGAACGAAACTATGATGCCAACATATTTTTAAACGTTAAAACAACAATAAAAAAACCCCAGAAGACAGAAAAAGAAATCCCAAGGGCAAAAAGTATTGTGGATTTAAAGTTTTTAAAGTAGAACGTAAGGTGAAGGACATGATAAAAACCCAGATATTAATTTACCAATTCAATAGATGCACCTCGCAAACAAGTATTATCATGAAGGGTTTTCAGATCTTTCCCCTAATTTTTACACACAGACCACTTTTAGTGAGGGCCCCCTCGCACCCCAGTTTTGCTTTTATTCCCCAAACTGATTTTTGCTCAGTTTCCCCTCTAATACTGGATCATTAAAAGGCACAAACATTCAAACTAAAGATACAATGGTTATTAACTCCAGCCTTAGCAAGGGCACATGGATTGTTTGCTACCGAATATTACAGTAAGTTTACAGTGACCACAAAAGGCTACTTGGTTCTCCTGGTTACAATGAGTATGAAGAGAGGACAGCAGGCAACTTTTGCTGTTATTAATACTGACCACAAAGACGAGATGTGTTTATAAGGCACAACGTAACATAAACTTCCTTTAGAGATCACTGTTTTTCACTTTGCTCAGAAATTTCAATCACAAAATATCTTGGTGAACAAGTATGAGTTACAAACCCAGAAAAGTACATCTAATCTCTTAAGTGCACACCAAAAAAATAAAAAAAAAAACCCCACTTTAAAAGCCCACAATTTGGGCATTTAAAGTTTTTTTCCTAAGACTTAACTGCTCCTGAATACCGAACACATTCAGCTTCAGATATACCACTTAAGAAGCTTGCAAAGCAGTCAAGGACCTTAATCCCCTGCTGATGCAAGGTTTGGACACCCTTCTTTCAAGTGACTGATATTCAGACTTCCCCACCTTGCAGCAGAGCAAAACAATTTTGCTTTTTCCCTTGCACTTAAGAGTTCTAAGCTCTTTAGAAAGTTCCCAAGCAATTTCTGTGCTTCCAAGCAACAATTAGCATTAGCAATTTACTAGTATTAACCAGCCTTTTCTTTGCCCATGAACTCTATTAAACTCCTCAGAGCCCTGCCTACTGATCTTTTCTCCAGAGAATTCCCCCTTCAAACCACATTCCCTGCCACCCCCACCCTCTGCAACAAACACCCAACCAACCCTCTCCCTTTCTTCACCCCCACCACCCCTCCCCAGTACCAGTGCCAAGCTGGGCCCTCCCCCTCACCTACAACCCTCACCTCAGGGTCCTCCCTTTTGAAAGCCAAGATTATTCTGAAATCTAATCAGGTGAAATTCAAGTCAAAAAACATACAGAGCAAGATGAATCAAAGATCACTATGGGACCCTAACCATTCCCTTCTCTTAGAAATCCACAACGCAATCCGAATACCCAAACTAGACCTGCCATTTCTACCAGAACTTGCACATGACCAACTTGTACCCTCCCAGACTCTAGCACAACAATGACCCCCCTCCCAGTTTGCCAGTCTGCTTCATCTACGTATTTGTCTCAGGCATTTCAAACTTGAACACCTTCCCACACAGATGACATCATCACACTAAGAATTCCTCCGACCAACACACAGGCAGGCAGGCAGGCAGGCAGGTAGGTAGGAGGGTAGGTAACAGGGTCACTGGGCTCCATCTGCCAGCTCCATCTACAAGGTGTTGTGGCATCACATTGAAACGTCCTACAGCTTAAGAATCTTCTTGAAGCAAGGTTCGTAGCACAGAAGAACTAGTATGACAGGAGGCTCAACCTAGATGCAGCATCTGAAAAACCTCCACCCCAGGAGAGGAGAGGCGCCTGCTGGCATTCATGCGCCTGGAGATTGGTGCTCCTGGATCAAACAGTCAAACACATCTGCCGACGCCCCGGATGCATCTGCTTTGGACTTAAGATTGCCCCCTCAAGCTCATCTGAAAACCCGAAGTGATGGCCTCCTGAATACAGGGCTTCCTGAGCAAGGCCTGGAAACACGACACTGGAAAACTTCCTCCTCCTAAGCCTCTGGAAATTCAATCTGCAGGCATCCGTTTAGGCGGGCTCTCTCCTCCAGGGTCTCCCCTCCTGCACTGCTATGACTCACACTGGCCAGGGGCTCCATTTCTCCTGGTGCCATCTGGTCGCCATGATGAACACTATAACAAACCACGGTCCATGAGGCATTTTTGTAACTTTCGGCTGGAGCCACAGCTGCGGGCCCACCCAAGGGTGGGCTCGATCCCCACCCTCTCCACCAGCAAGCAACACCAACCCGCCCCACCCCAGTCTCAGCGGGAAGGCCCTTCCTCCTTGCGATTACCAACAATACCGACTCCAACAGGGACTTCAGCAACTTTCCCAGGCTTCCCAGGTTACCAGAAGCAAGGTTTTAAGTGAAGGGATAACGTGGAGAGAGTTAAAGGGAGGAGGAGGGGCAGAGCAAGCTCACAGAAGAGGCTAGCACCGAACCCAGAGGGAAAGTCCAAAGGGGAGCGCTGCCACCTGGAAAATAAAGTGTGGGTCAATTTTGTCCAGACACACAAACATCCTGCCTCAGCAGCCCCCGCCTGTCCGATACCTAAGATGCCACACCATTAACGGCTTAGGGTGGCACCTTTCCTCTGGAAATGACTCGGGACACCCTCACCTCCGACCAGGCGTCTCGCCTCACACCCAGACCTGGGTTGCACTAGGCTGGGCCTGGCCTGGCCCCTGTCCCACGCCCAGCCAAAATTACATACCACCCGGGGCCAGAGCTGTCCGGCCGCGAAGCTAAGTGCGGTTTCCACAACACCAGGCCTCATGCCCGGGCGGGTTCACAACCCTCTGTCTGGGGAAAAAAGGGGGCTGCTGGTACTGACAAGGTCAAGGTCTGTCCTCCCGGCCCACCTGCGGCCCTGCACCCCACTGCCTTCCTTCCCGATCATTCTCAGGGCATCAACTGCCCAATTCCACCTCCTCTCCAGCAGGGAGGGAGACCCTGGGTCTCCTCCACCTCCTCCTGTCTCTCACTGCCTTCCTCCTTCCACAGAGACCAGGGCACTGGGGGACCGCTCAGCCCGCGCAGGAGCGGCGTCCTCCCAGAGGTCAAGTGCCCATCCCCAGCGGGCGGCAGCGACAGCCTGGCCTAGACGGTTGTCCTCCCCCTGGGCGACTGCGGGCACTTCCAACGCAGCTCTGCCCAGCACAGCCGCCCCCCAAACCTGGTCTCCTCCTCGACCTTCCTGTTCCTTGTACCCCCACGCCCCCTGTCTCGTCTAACTCTGTCATCTCCCCCGTCTGCCCTCTGAAGCCCTAAACCGGCCACTGCCACCCCACAGCTAAGCCCAGCAGCGCGACCCTCCCTGTGGCTAACTCCTGCCGGACACGCCCCAACTTTTGCTTTTATAGGCCAGGGCCGCATCACCGGGGCACTGCTCAACGGGACGATTCCTCCACTGCCACCGGAAAAGAAGTCCCTCCCGACTCTGCCCAAGGAGACGCCTCGAGGTGGTTCTCGGTCTCCCGGGGTGTCCGCCCCTCAGCTGCCCCAGTTACCCCCCCACCCCCCTTAGCCGTGCTTCAGGAGATCGAGGACAAGTCTCAAGGTCACATTTGGGAGACGGATTCCGTGGAGGAGAAATGCCCTTTCCTGGGGGTTGGGGTGAGGGAACACCGGTCCCCGAGAGGGGGCTGGGTGGGGGAGGCGGGCTGGGGCCGCTTCCGGTGGGGGCGAAGGGAACTGCGGGGGTCGCCTCAGGTCACCCCTCCCCGCCGAGGTCCGAAAGAAGGGCCGGCAGGGCGACTGGAAAGTTCCAGGCGGCGGCGGCGGAGGGATCTCTGCGGAGGGCGCGTCACTGCCCTAGGCGGCGGCGGGGCGGGGCGGGGGCGGGAGCGGGGCGGCAGCGCGTGACTCCGCGGGCGGCCGCGCCGCCTCGTGAGCGCCGGAGACGTCAGCTCCCAGGCGCCCCTGGGGGAAGCAGGGCGTGTCCCCATACTGGCACCCGGGCAGCCCCCAGTGATCTGTACCTGCTGCTGTGCTTACGGGGTCTTTGGTTAAGAAACCCTGCTGTGATTTTGTTGTTTTAAAAATGGTTGGGAGCAAGTTGATTAAAAAGCTAAGCCTCCGAAGTTGCCGCTTGAGGGGCGTGTGTCATGGTTTGTTACCAGGGGCCTGGAGGTTTGAAGCATTTCATAAGAAAAGCTATCCCCGCCGGGATGGAATGCTTAGTGACTGGTCAGGATGTAGTAAGTGGAAAAAGGCAGTTGCAGAATAATGACAAGCAAGATCTTGTCTGTGCAGAAAACAGTTTATGTAATTGCAGGGCGACAAGTCCAAAAGGGCATAGATATTCAACCCATTTGGCTTTTGGATTGGGAGGTGGGGAAAAAGGAGATTTTTTTGAAAAAATTAATCTGTTTAGGGCAGTCTACAGCCTGCGATGGGCCTCAGGGAGCTGCTTGCTGACTGCTGGGGGCCCCCACCCTGGGTCTTCCAAGGAAAGGCGGAAACAAACCGGGTGAGCTTGTCCCCTGCACAAGGCCAGGCAAGGCCTGAGCGCTTGAGGAGGGTTTTGAAAAGGGTGGTTGGCGTCTCTTGTGCCAGGAGTGGGGCCAGAGTGAGGAGGAGGCACAGCCTGAGACCCCTATGCGGCCTCTGTTCAGCCCTGGCCCCCTGGGGTATAGGGTGGAACGTTGACAGTGGTCAGAGTAACTAGAATTGAGGAGCTTCTTGGACCAACTCCCTGCCCGGAGGTCTCCCAGGGCGGCCACCCACACCCCAAACAAAACCACCCATGCCACAGGCTCCCTTGGCAACCGGGAGGAAACTGGGGAAGATTGTTCCCCTTACCCCTGCGAGATGGCATCTGCAGGGGGGCTGGGCCCAGCTGCCACACCCTCCTCGTGATTCTCGGAAAACTGACGACTCCCATGTGACCTTCAGCACAGAAGGTCCAGTGTGTGGCAAGCCCAGACTTGTTCACCACTGGGTGCCTGGCTGAGCTCTCCTGCCACTGAAAGATTGGGGCAACTCACCCTCGCCGAGATCTGCCTCATCAGTCTAGTCCCGGCAACGTTCCCAGGGCTGGGTGGGGGAGACTTGGCCTGAAAGGACAGTGTGGAAAGAGGGAATTGCCTGTCAGAATGTTCCAGAAAGCTGGGAGGTGTGGCTGATACCCAGCAAATGCCTTCGCTGCTGTGTCACAGTACCAAGCTATGGGGTCAGCCCTTTATTTATCTACAAGATGCCTGAGTGGTGGTGTTAACTGCCGTGTGCGGTTTCCTGGGCCCAGCTTGGTGCCTTAGCTTGGTTTTCTCTTATCTCTGGTATAAAAATCTTCCTCCTTCACATGTATCATTCCCAAATCCCTGAAACAATCGTAGATTTTATTTTTCAAAAGAGTAGGAGTAGGTGGAATTAACACCACACAAAGTATCAGGATTCTACAGATCATAGGATTCTTCATCACAAAAGGAACTAAGGCCCTCATTTGTGGCCTTGTATCTGGAGCCGCCCTGGCCACCCACTCCATTTTCAAGGACAAGATGGCACAGTTTCAGAGGGGCCTTGTATAGAAGGTCTCCTGGCCTCCGAGTTCCACACAGCTAGTTTTCTTGGGGAGGGGAATGTATTTGAGGAAGATGAGAGGAGGGTAGAAAGCCACACGGACATCTCTGTCCTGCCTTAGGGGGGCCAAGGGCAGTGCTCACAGCATGGTGGACAAACATCTGGCTTGGGTTCCACCTCTTTCTCTGCAAATAAGGCTAAACATAGCTCCACTCTCTGGACGAGGCGCGTGGGGCAGCAGAACTCAGCAGATTTCTCTAGATCAAAACGAGCTGTTCCAGGAAACAGCAGTAAACAGGACCTTGGATCCCGGGCTGGGGCTGGCTGGAGATGGGCCCGCCCTAGCCAGTGCGGGGTTGAAGCATACTCCTTCCACTCAGGGGCTGGGGGTTGGAGGGGAAGGAAAGACTGGAGAGGGCCCCTTGGGCAACATCCGGATTGCAGGGCCAGGGCCGAGGCCCAAGCCCTTTCTCATGGCCGTGGCTGCCTCCTCATCTTGTTTTGAAACCAGCCCAGCGCTGTTGTTTCCAAACCAGCCCAGGAAAGGACCTGGGCGATTTCCTGCAGGAGCTGCTGGGAAAGGCAGAGAAGAGGACTAAGAACCGGGTGGTACTTCAGGCTCACACCAAGGGCAGGACAATGACAGTATTGCTGCCACTGTTTGAAAATGTGCCAGAACTCCACCCCTCCCATCCCCCACAGGTCCAGTTCCAGAGCTATGGCCTTGGGTCACCTTGAGCTCTCCACTCACAGGAGATACTCAACTGGGGCCATTTCCCTCTGAGTCCTGAGGCCCCCCTGTCTCAGGGCCTGGGTGAGGGAACTGCACAGTCACCGTGTGCTGGCCGGGCACCCTCCTGCCCCGGCTTACCTCACAGCAGCCCATCAGGAACCACAACCTGGACCCCCACCCCAGCCCCCACAGGCACTTTGCCAGGTTGGTCCCCACCTCCCAGCATGACCCTGGGCACATCTTTAACCTTTCCCAGCCTGCTCTCCTCAACCCCACGTCATAATCAAAACAACTATTGTCAGATTATGACAATGGAAGGCTCTCCACCCAGTGGCCGCCTGGCCCAGCCCTTCTTCAGCTCCTTCAGGCCTCTGCCTGGAGGTCACCTTCACAGTGAGCCGTCCTCTGTGGGACTTGAGTTCCTCAAGGGAGGGGTTTCCCGCTGTTTTGTCATCCACTGGACCCGCAGTCTCTGCCACGTAGCCGACCTCAGTAAATGTGTTGACCGGTCTGTGTATTTTAAAGGTCACTCTGTCCACTATTAGGCTCTCGGTAAATATTTGTGGACAGGCTGAAGGAAGGAACTGAGTTCCCAGGGCAGCCGCAGCCCCACAAACTCGATGACAGGCCCAGCTCTGGGGGTTCTGTCCAGGCCTGGGCGCCCGGATCAGCAGACAAGGAGAAAGGGGGGCTGCTCCCTCTGGCCCGGGGCCAGCAGCTCCTGTGGAATGTCAGGGCGGCCGCTAAGGAACCAGGGAGCCTGTCTCGGCCAGAGCTGGCAGAAGGCATTTGGGGGAGAGGGCGTCGGGGGTGGAGACTCCCCCGACCCTGATTGCTAAGCCAGAGGAGGAGGTGGGCTAGCCCAGCTGCATTTCATGCTCCCGTGTCCTTGGCCCACGTGGGCCAAAAAGAGGGAGAGGAAGCCGGGAGGCGATCCTAAGTTAGGAGAGGGCTTCTCGACATTTCACCTTTGTCTCCCCCGGGGAGCACAGGGCCTGTGGGCTCTGGGTCCCTGATGCCCTTTCCTGGGGGCCTGCCCCTCCTAGGGCCAGGCGTCAGGCGTTGGGCCATGCCTCCAGGAAATAACTCTGATGGTGTCAGTCCCCTGCATCTGGATCCGGAACTCCCTGCCACATACACCTCCGACTCCTGGGCATCAGGTCCTCGGTGCCCCAGCCCTACTGAACCGCCCCCCTTCCCTGAGCCTTGCCCAAGCTGGCCTCCTGCCTGGAGCCGGCCCCACCCTTCTCCTGCCAACTCCTTCACTGGCTCACGGTCACTTCCCTCTGTCCTGAAGCCCCTGCTCCTAAGTGCTCACCAAACCCACCTGCTCCCCACCCTGTGTTGAGCACCCCTGGCCTGGCTTCCCAGCCCCCAGCAGAGGGAAGGCCTGTGCAACGAGGGGCTGACCGGGTCCCACAAGCCTTGCCTCTCTCGACCACTGCTGTGTTCCACCAGTGGCCCCCAGACCTCCTAGGCTCCTCTGTTCCCGACTAAGCAAGTCCCAGCTTTTGTAGGCCCCGCCTCTGGCCTGTGCCCACCTTGCCAGCCTTTCTCCAAGCCCCACCCATCAGGAATCCTGGTGACAGCTCCTCTGGGCAGGGAGCTGGGCGGTGCTGACATCCACCACCTCCCACCCCTGGGTTTGCACAGCTGGCAAGAAACCCTCTCCCTTCTCCAGGGCCCGCCAGAGCCTCCCTCTTAAACTTGGGGCCCTGCGGATGGGAACGTCCTCAGACCCGAGCCTTGTCTTGTTCCTGCAGTGATCCCACTGGAGCACTGGTTGCTCAGACTGCCCTTGAACCTCTGAAGGAGTGTTTTCTGCTCTGACCCCCCTTGGCCCGCCTGAGTGGCATCCGTGAGCGAGGTGTGTATGGCACCAGGCTTCACCAGGCACAGTGGAGACCCTCTGAGTGGTTCCATCGCTCCCTGGAGGCTGCTGACCTTGGCACTGTGAGGGAGGCCTGTGCTCTCGCTGGCCAGAGCGTCAGCGGTCACCGCCACCCCGTCCACCACACGCCAAGGTCAAAATGGGCAGGGGACACAGAAGTCCTAGAGAAGAGCTGGGACTATTATTCATCATCTCGCAAATTATATTTATGACAAATAGTTTAAAATAGCTGGAGGGCTCAGTATGGGTGGGAGAGGGAGGTGCTGAGAGAGGGGCCAGGACAGCTGAGAAGGGGGAGGGGGCCTGGGACAGTCAGCTCCTGTGGGCATGGGGCGGACCACAGGGTGGAGCAGGAGGAAGGTGACTAGTCCCAGGGTGTGCCCACCGCACCTCCTGGATTTCCCCAAATAGCCCTAGTTTTAAATATTTTGACTCGGTTGTCATTCACAGAAAAACAAACAAAAAACTCCAAAGCAGAATCTGTTTTCAGGATGTGGATCCTGATCTTTGGAAAATGTGGGTCTCATCACGATGCAGGGAACCTCGTGGGAAACCCTGTCTCTGCTCTGTCATGGCCCAGAGGGAGCTGGTGGCAGTGAGGAGGCAGGGCGCCGGCTCTGAGAGACCGGGTGGGCATGCAGAGCCAGAACAAAGGCCGCCCAGATTCTGCCCTGTGGGCCAGGCTGCATAGCTCTGGGCGGGAGGTGCCAGCTCACCACCTCTGCAGCTGGGCTGGAGAAGGAAAGGGAGGGCTAAGCTGCCCCCTGCCGGCCGCAGCTGGACCAGCAACCTGTAGGTGCTGACCTTGGCCAACTCACCTCTCCCTTCCCTGCCCACTCCTGCCCCCTGGACCCCTGCCAGCCCAAAATTGTCAGCTCAGTAGAGGCAAGCAAAGCAGCTGACCACAGGGCACCAGACGTGCTGCTTAAAACTGAACTTCTGACCCAGGCCTGGCCCTGCCACTCGCTTTGGGTGATGTTGGGTAATCTGCCTGCCTTCTCTGAAAGGTGTGGCTGATTTGGACAGGGAGAAAGTGCCATGTGGCTTTAAAGCGTCCTCCTGGCCTGGGAGCAGGAGGAGCAGTAAGAATCTGCGCGTCCCTCGGCTCAGGACTGTCCGTGTCCATTAGGCTCAAAGTCACAGGCTTTGCTTGGCTCCCCCACCCTGCCCCCACGCCCTCTCACTCTGCTCCATTCGCCTCTATCTTACTGAGCCTATCAGGGCCTCTCCTCCAGGAAGCCTTCCTTGATAACTGACCCCCCTTCGCCATCTGTTGTCTGTTCCCCTTTGTCTCGTGTTGGATGTAGCCAGCTCATCTGTCAGAGGCATCCTGTCTATATAGAGCGGCTTGTTTCCTGGTCATTTGTGTTCCCATCCCCAGTGTCCCCTGAAAAGCTGAGTAGACTCTGAGCTGACACCCTCTTGGGCAACTTGGTCATTAATTCTGCAACTCCTTGTGTGGGGCACCTAGAACTCCTGCCCCCTGGCGCCGTCACTCCGAGCCGCTCCTTCGCAGTTCTGTCTGATGTGTCCCTCGACCTGAGCGGGAAAGCTTTCTCGGCTGCCCTGCTGGAGTTTTCTGAGGCCAGCAGGGCCTCTGGCCCCCTGGGGGTCTCTGATGGGTCAGCATACTGTTGGCCACAGCAGCACAGAGCTCGAGCTCCCCTGCTGTGGACCTGAGCTGGCCTCCTGTGGGCCGCGGTTGCGGCACGAGCTGCCTGTGCCGGTGGCTCAGAGAGGCCAGGATCGGGAAGGCCTGCAGGAGTGTCCCGATGCGTAAGTGGCAGAGGAGGACCCAGAAATGCCCCAGCCTCAGGAGGGACAACAGGATTGGCTGTGTTGATTGTGCCAGTGACCTCTGCTACCAGAATTCTGAAGAGTTAGGGGGTGTCTGGGGGCCTTGAAGAGCCTGTCCCACTTCACTGAGCCCCAGGGGCAGTCTCGGCAGGGCCTCTTCTGGCCTGGGGGGCCTCTGGAGCCAGGTGCTGGCCAAGCCAGGCCGTGTGCCAGGCTGGCGGGGGTCAGCCTCCTGCTTCTCCCAGCAACCTGAGGGCAGCTGGTATTTCAAAATAACAACCTTTGATGCATTAAAAAGCCCCAAAGAAGACCAAGGCAGTAAACCACGCAGGTGGTATCATGGGTTGAATTTGTGTCACCCCCAAAAGATATGTTAAGTCCCACCCTTAGAACGTCACCTTAGTTGGACATAGGGTCATTGCCGATGCTGATGTAATTAGGGAGGATGAAGTGGGGTGGGGTGGGTCCCTAATCCAAACGGCTGCTGTCCTTATAAGAAGACGGCCCAGACACGCACGGGGAGAAGCCAGGTGACAATGAAGCAGAGATCGGATTTATGCAGCTGCAAGCCAAGGAATGCCAGACTGCCAACAAGGCACTGGAAGCTAGCAAGGGGCAAGGATGGATCCCCTACAGCTTTCAGGGGGACCATGGCCCTGCCGACACTCTGGTTTTGGACTTCTAGCCTCCAAAACTATGAGATTACATTTCCGTCATTTTAAGCCCCCAGTCTGTGGTACTTTGTTACAGCCGCCCCAGGCAACAAATGCAGGTGGGAACAGGGGTGCGTGGAAATGACCTCTGGAATGTGGGGGGTCTTAAGGGACGAGTGACTCACCAAACCTGTCGTGATGGCACACAGATGCGGCCATCGCAGGCTGCAGGTGCTTTCCCATCTGTAACCCAGTGTCACCCCTAACCTCTGTGCTCTGCCCTTGGGATTGGGAAGAAGTCATCAGACAGGCACCGTAGCCCTCAGTAACCTGAAGAAGCAGGTATGACCATCCCCATTTGAGAGACGTGGAAATGGAGGCCCAGAAAGGTGATATAACTTGCCTAAGGCTACACAGCAGGGAGGGAGGGGGGCTAGACCAGGGGTAGGGTGTTGGCCCTCCAGGAGACAGGTCTGTCCCAGAGAGGATAGCCATGCAGTCTGACAGGCTAGGGTGAGGGGGATGTGGGCTGGGGGCCTGTTGGGAAGCCAAGTTGGGGAGGGGGTCCAAGAATGCTGAGCAAAGGGGAGACTGCAGGGTGTAGGGCAGGAAGACATTTCCTCTACCCTCTCTGGGTTTGTCTGGCTGGAGAACAAATTACATTCACGTGAGACAGAATAGCAGGAGAAAATTAAACAAAGCTTTATGTTCTGAGGACCATGGCCCGGGGCCTTTCTTCCCAAAGGAAGAAAGGGCACCGAAGAAGTGGGGTGCACAGAGTGGTTATATACCCCCAAACAGGATGTTTCACATAGGATTGAAATGTCCCTTTTACAATAGTTGTGAGACTGCTCTGTCGGCACAGCAATTGATGGAAACAGCAGATAGGTCTGCTGTCTCAGTGAACACAGCAGGGTGGCAGGTCTGTTGTCTTGAGCTGGGTGGTCAAAGGTGAGTGCAGCAATCAGTTCCTAGCCTAAGGAAAGATGCTTATCCTTAAGGAAATGCCAATGGGGTTGGGGGGGAGTTGCACCTTTATCTTAAGGCCATTTGTTCTTGCCATAGTAGATGTTTTAAAGCAGATATACAATGCGTGCTCAATGGCCACAGTCAGGCCCTTTTGGGAAAAAAACAAAGTCAGGCTGAATTAGGTTTACACCAAATGGCTTCCTCATGTACTCCAATATATCCTATTGCTTGCCATTTCTATTTGTCAAATGTATACATGGGAAAGGCTCAGGCAAGCCGAGCAACTAGCCAAAATGGCTGAAACCACCACCCTAAATATCGTATCCAGCTGAAGACAAAGGAGGATGTTGGGGGTGGGGGAAGTCAGTTACAGGAGGTTACCAGACAAGCACAGTAAACAAATGCAGATTTCAGTCCTTGGCTTCCCCATTGATTAAGCGTTTCTAGGGGTAAGGTCATCTCCCCTTCTTCCGGGTACAGAGAGGGAGACATCTTTACAGATGGAGATTTCCTTTACAGTGTAAATGTCTCTTACAAAGGGTAAGTAAATTCTACTTTTCAGTTGCTTTCCTGTCTGCAAAATAACTAGCCCTAAATAATCCTCATGCCAAAGAGACATATCTTGGGGTGGCCAATTCCAGGCCCCCACAAGGGTGTGTTCCAGAAACAAGTGGAGCCAGTATGTGTAGTGGGCAGGGATCAATTCAGCACTTGTGCAGCCTGAAGCTTAAATAATTTTATGGGCCTATGTTAAGAAAAATAATTTTTTAATGGCCGGCCCCATGGCCGAGTGGTTGAGTTTGCACGCTGTGCTTCGGTGGCCCAGGGTTTCACCAGTTTGGATCCTGGGCGCGGACATGGCACCACTCATCAGGCGTCCCAAATCCCACAACTAGCAGGACCCACAACTAGAATATACAACTATGGACTGGGGGGTTTGGGGAGAGGAAGAAAAAGGAAGAAAAAAAAGATTGGCAACAGATATTAGCTCAGGTGTCAATCAAAAAAATAATAATAAAGGAAAATAATTTTTTAAATCCTACTTTTTCAAATTTTACAAAACCATGGAACCCACTGCTGGGGTCTGAAGCCTGACCTTCATTCATTCCAAATGAGTCAGCCTCTGGGCCAGGGCATGTCTTGTGCAGAGGGTGGGGTGCGGGCCAGAGTTCACGTTGCTAACCACCCACTCAGCGCCTGGATTTGGGCTGGTGCCACCTCACGGAAATGTGTAAACTAGGGCCCGACCTCGGGGTGCCCGCGGGGGAGGCGGTGGGAAAACACCCCAGTGCGCCTGCGAGGAGGAGACCAGGAAGCCCACTCCGAGGGGACCTTCCAGCAGCCACCCTGCTGGCTGCGCAGAGCCGGGCTCCTCACCAGGATGTGGTTCCCAATTGGGCTCCCTCCTTGTCCCTCTTTGGCCATCTGATGGGTGCCTGGAATTAGGATCTTGGGCTTCAGGCCCTCAGAGAACCAAGAGGCATCCCCAGCACGCAGCCTCTCCCCCTTCCCTCTGCTGAGTTGCTCTACAGGCCACAAGGGGACGTTTCCAGGGGTCAGCTGGTCTCTGCTCAGCTGCACCTGGGGCACATGGCCATGGCCAGCATGCAGGCTGTGCAGTGGAGACTGGGCTCGGCCCAGGAGAATGGGGCTGGGGGCTGACACAGAGACGTGGTTGGGGCAGGTGGCGCCCTCTCCCGGTCTCCTGTGCTGGGATGACTGGGCACAGAGCACGAAGGCCCCCCTGGGGGAGAGCCTGCTGACGACCTAAACAGTTAGGGAGACACGTCGTGCACTTAGGGCCGTGAAACAACTGGAGAACTAGCAGTGGAGACCGGGCAGTGCTCCTGGGAGGAGGCCGGGGCAGAGTGAGCCACAGAAAAGGTTGGCCCGACAGGAAGCTCCTGGATGGTGCTGGGAGGGGGTCCCCAAGTCAGCCGCATAAGCAGGAAAAGGAAAGGAAATGGATTCTCCCTGGAGCCTCCAGAAGGAATGCAGCCCTGGCGACCCTTTGATCTGAGCCCAGTGGGACTCATTTCTGACCTCTGACCTCCAGAACTGTGAGATAATGGATGCGGGTCGTTTTAAGCCACTAAGCTTGTGGTCACCTGCTACAGTAGCTCTAGGAAACTACCACAGGTGGTGGAGGCAGACGGGGCCTGGGTAGGAGGAGCGGCTCTGGGTCTGCCCGGCCCCAGGCTGTGCCCCCTATCCTACCAGAGGGGGTGTCTCTGCCATCGGCAAGCCCTGGCCTCTCAGGTAGCCCCGTCCTTCCTCCCAGCTTTCCAGACACAGGACATTTAGAGACGATAGTAGCTTACACCCAATAGTCTACACCAGACACTAAGGCACCCCAACAACCCTGTGAGGTGGCTCCTATTATTATTCCCATCTTAAAGGTCAAGAAGTGGAGGCTCAAGGTCAGCGCCTCACATAAGTGGCCATGGTCATGGCATCATGCTTTCTCACCAGCAGAGGACCCCACAGGCACCACTCACTGTCACCGATGCCTGAGGAGACAGGCCCTAGTCCCAGGACGGTGCTGCTGTGGGGACACATGGCTTTCTCTTTCTAGCTCCGGAAACATTCACAGTGTGAACTCTAACCCCCAAATGGTGACGTGCTGCGTGGCTTCCTGCAGGGCCCACAGCGCTCCGGAGGTCAGGTCTGATGCTGTCTTGTCCCTGTCCTGTGCCCCAACCCCCAACAGGACCTGTGGGAAAGAAACTGCCTCCCGGCCGGGCCCAAGGCAAAAAGAGCCCCAGAGAACTGCCCAAACCTCCTGGTTTCTCTGGTCTCTCCCCTGGGGCACTGGCTTCCGGACTGTGCCCTGTGTTCCAGCCCCAGGTGTGAGAAGGAACCTGGACCCACCAGGTCTAACAGGCAGAGGGGGGTGTGGCTGAGGTTAGGGACAGGGACGAAGGTGCCACTGTTGGCTCCTTGTGCCCCTGCCTCCCTACAGAGCTCCTGTTTGTTCCCATTGTGAACTCCAAACCCCTCTTGGGCCTTCGTACCCTGGGAGTCCCTGACCGACCACCAGGACAGGAGAGCTTCACCCGGGTTCTCCATCAACGCTCAGCCGGGCGAGCCTGGAGGGCCGCATCCCTTGATGCAGAGTTAACAGCAACCGCGCAGCCTGTCATCAACTCCCAGGCTGTAATTAACACTCTTGTTACTTCACGTCATAAACCGCACCAAAGTCTGCTGGAAACTGATTTTATTATTAATAAATCACGTGATATAAAAGAATGAGAATATTCAAAGGGCACTTAGTAAAATCCTGCTTTGTCCCAAAGGGCAGGCAGAAAAGGTTAAGGCACAATGGATGCTTAGAAAACAGGAGAAAGAGGCTGAAGAATAAAAACAAGTGATTTGTGTGTACACACAGACACCCCACATACAGGCTGCCATCAGCACATCGGATAAGAATTCACCTGGAATCAAAACAGTGAGTGGGAGGAGAGACCCAGAGGGCTGGGAGTGGACGGGCTGGGCAGCTAGCGATGTCGAGTGACACCAGGAGGGCAGACCAGAGGTCCTCTGGCTGCGACATTCCAAAAGGCCAGGGACACCTATTTATTATGACAAATAACAAAGTCCCTGCTGCTGGAAGACAAGCCCACCTCAAAACATCTGGAGTGTTCAAAAGTCACCAAAGGGAGGAGGTGAGTGGGCTCTGGCATCTGGAGACAAGAGGTTCTCGTTTCCTCTCCCACGGTTCTCCGCTGGGAGCGGGAGACAAAGCAAAGCCCTGTGCTGAGCCGGCGTTTCTTTCCGGGGGGGAAAGCCCCAGGCGCGCCCGTGAGACCCACCACGGAGGAGCCCGCTCCTGGGCCAGCCACGACCCGTGCCACAGCAGCCTCCTACCTCATCCATACTCTCATGGTGGGACTGCCCCAGGCATGGGTGGCCCCAGGGTCAGGCCAGATGGAAACCACAGCGCTGTCTCTGGGGGAAAGCCAGCAGCTCTGTGACGGCGGGCATTCTCTTGAATTGCCCCAGAGTTCACAGGCTTCACGGGACCAAAGCAGATGAGAAAAAAACAAAACTAAAACCTGACACCCAAGGAGGTTTGGGAGCTTCTGGAGGGTGGGTCTGGTGGGCTTGTTGGTCCATAGGACAGCCACCTCCCAGCACAGTGACGTCGCCAAAGGCTAGCAAAAAGGCACCTTCCTTCTGGTCAGTGTCTCCTGCCTGCAGGAGAGGCCTGAGTACGGGCACAGGGGAGCTGGGTCCTGCCTGGCTCCCTCCAGTTCCATCCAGCCAGGGAGGGTTGGGTGGGGGGCCCTGTCTTCTCTGTTCCTGCTGTAGTTCAATCCAGGGAAGCCCCCTGCCCGCCGCCACGGAGCATCGGCCCAGGCTGGCAGCATGGGGTGGAATGCCAGCAGAAGGAATGCGGGGATGTAGTCACCCAAGTCCGGGGAAAAGACCAAAGACGCATGTGGGACCTGCAGGTCCCGAGCCCTATTCCTCAGCTACCTGCCATCAGAGCTGCCACCGGGCACTTCAGAGCAGGGGACAATGTCCCTTAAGGGGCACAGTGAGAGGGGCACAAAAGCATGTCCCTGGGTGGGAGGGGGCGAGCGGGGACTGATCAGATGGTCCTGAGACAGCAGTGGGGCCCGAAGTCCAGGGGAACGACAGGCAGGCTGCAGGAGGGTCCCTGCGGAAACCCCGGCCAGCTCTGCACAGCCCAGGCACCATCCCAGCCACAGAAGTCACTTGTCCATGCGCTGAGGAAGCCCTCCTCCCCAATGTGAGGGCCACAGGCTGGCCCTGCCCCTCAGGGAGGACAGCGCTGGGCCAGGTCCGGGGGGCTCGCTGTGCCCTCCTCCTGCCCGGCACTGCCGCCCTCAGCCCTGCTCCAGGCTGTCAGTGGGCTGCACCACGGTGTAGCTCCCCTGGCTCGTGGAGAGCTGCCGGCCGAAGAAGGACGTGGTGCGCTTCGGTTTCACCCGCTTGATCTTCTCGCCTATCAGGGAATAAGCAGAACGCGCTGAAGAGAGGGCTTCCCTGGCGAGGGGACCCAAGCCCCTGGGAGCCTGGGTTCCGGCTCCAGTGAGAGGTTCCTTCCGGAACCCGTGCAGACCAAGCTCCCCGCTTCACACCCGCCAACTTTCTGAGCCTCAGTCCCCCGACCCTAACTCCCACCAGTGACGTGGGTGGGCCGTGTGGTGTGGCCAGGCTTCCACATCAGAGGCAAATCGGGGTTTGATGCTAGCCGGTTGTGGCGTCTGAGGATCTTTGCTAAAATCTGTTCAGGAACAGACCAAAGAAACAAAATTCCTCAACCCAGATAACTGACTGAAGCTGAACCTCGGTAAGATCAGGAGAATATTCTTACAAGTTAAAATTTTCAAGCCAGGTGATCAAGGTCAATGTCAACGGTCATGAATCTTGTTGCTAACACATCTTTGATGGGGGGGGTGATGACGATGGCACTTTACCTCTGTGATCTTCCCCCAAAAAACCCAGAACCTCAGTCTAATCAGGAGAAAAACATCAGACAGATTCCAGTAACGGGGCATCCTATAACCTCCCCCAGCAGGACTCCCCCAGCTGTCAAGGTCATCCAACAAGGAGAGTCTGAGAGACTGTCACAGCCCAGAGGAGCCTTCAAGTCAGGACAACTAAATGTAGTGTGGTGTCCTGGATGGGCTTCTGGGACAGAAAAGCACATTAGGTTAAAACTAAGGACTTTAGTTAATAATACTGTATCAATATTGGTTCATTAATTATAACAAATCTACTTTTTTTTTTTTTACATATTTATTCATTTATTAGGAAGACTGGCCCTGAGCTAACATCCATGCCCATCTTCCTCTACTTTATATGTGGGACGCCTGCCACAGCATGGCTTGACAAGCAGTAGGTCCGCACCTGGGATTTGAACTGGCAAATCCTGGGCCACCAAAGCGGAGCATACGAACTTAACCACTGTGCCACATGGCCAGCCCCACAAATCTACCACATTAATGTAAGGTGTTAATTTAAAAAAATCAAGCAACAAAAGAAAAACAGGCAACAAAAATGAATAGTATTCTTGGGGGCTGGCCCCGTGGCTGAGTTGTTAAGTTCATGCACTCTGCTTTGGCGGCCTGGGGTTCACCAGTTTGGGTCCTGGGCGCAGACCTATACACTGCTCATCAAGCCATGCTGTGGTGGCATCCCACACGGAAGAACTAGGAATGACTTACAACTAGGATATACAGCTACGTACTGGGGCTTTGAGGAGGAAAAAAAGGAAGATTGGCAACAGGTATTAGCTCAGAGCCAATCTTCCTCAAAAAAAAAAAAAAGAAAGAAAGAAAAGAACAGTAATCCATGAAGAAACTAGAAAGGATCAAGGACACAAAAATGGTCCACCTTCACTAGAATTCAACCACCAACTCAAACAAGTTCTCTCTCTCTCTCTCAGGACGTTAAGATCCACAGTGGGTACAGAAGGTGGATGTCATCTTCTCCTCTGCAAGGGGTACAAGTGGGTACACATTTTGACCCAGCAGCCCCATATCTAGGAATTTAACCCGAGGAGACGGTTCAGATTCCAAGTAAGGATTTAGCTACAGGTATGCTGTCTGTAGTAGCTGAGAACCGGAAATCACTATAATGTCCGACAAGAAGGGACTGGGTGTAAACAACCGTGTGCGCCAACCACATTGAGAAAGTCTACAACGGTGCCAACACCAATTCTGTTACAGAAAAGTTATTTTGCTTTTTCTGATTATAAACATGACATGCTTGTGGTAAAAGCCTGAAATGCTACAGAGAAGCACAAAGAGAAAAGGAAAAGTTACAGCAAGCGATCCCCACACTGGGACCCCTCCGTCGCTCCCCCCGCGGAGCAGTCTTGCATGGTGCCAACTTATTACCTGGTTCTTTCTACTCAGTATCATTTTGTCTACATCCACCATTTAAAGGTAGATATTTGTTATTGTGTTAAAAAAAAACAAAACTTTTTTTTTTCTGCTTTATCTTCCGAACGCCCCCCCCCCGCCCCACACACCCGCCGTACATAGTTGTATATCTTAGTTGCAGGTCATTCTAGTTGTGGGATGTGGGACGCCGCCTCAACGTGGCCTGATGAGCAGTGCCATGTTCGCACCCAGGATCCGAACCCTGGGCCGCCACAGCGGAGCATGTGAACTTAACCACTCGGCCACAGAGCCGGCCACCCAAAAAAAAGCTTTTTATTTTGCAATAAGTCTAGATTTATGGAAAAGTTGCAAAGGTAATAGAAAGAGTTCCTGCGTATCCTCATGATGTTTGCACCGTGTGTGACAATCAAGTACAGTACATTTGTGCACGCTGAGAAATGAACACAGTACGGTACTATTAACTAAACTACGGACTGGGGTTCACCAGTTCTTCCACAAAGGCCCGCTGGCTGTGCCGGGACCGGATCCGAGAGGCCACATTGCATTTAAGGTATCTTCGCCAGCTGCCCTGATTCCACAGCCGGGGTCCCACTGTTTCTGCACCCACACCTTTGATAACAGACATTGGGAGTTTCTAGTTTTTCCATCTGGACAATGCTGCAGTGAACATCTGTGGACGCAGCAGTGAGAAGGGAGCAAAGGGCTCCTAGCGCCAGGCCTGCAGTCCCGATCACAGAGCTCAGAAGATGTGACACTCAGCCCCCAGCCCGTCTCTCAGCCACGTCCTGCCGGCTGGAGGCTAACACACCGTGTCTGGAGTTGCTCTGTATCTCCCTACCCTCCGGAGCTCCCCCGGGGCATGCGTGTGCGCATGTAGACGTGTGTGCGCACATGTGTATACCACGTAGGGGTCACTCACCCTCCTCCACGTAGTCAATGGTGGAAAGATGCTGGATCCGGCTGCACACCACGCTGCCCTGCCTCCGCAGCTGGGGGCGCTGAGCAGGAGGTGGCAGGGAGCCGGGGGCCGCGGTGGGACCAGACACGCTCTCCTGGGTGGCGGCGGGCTCGGCGGTGTGGTTCAGCTCAATGCAGTACTCAATGAGGCTGCTCATCAGTTCAGCCTGGAGAGGAGAGAGGGGCCAGGGGAGGCCTGGAGGGTGGGCCACGGCCCACGCCCACTTCCTGTACCCCTGCAGAGCCAGATGAACCTCTGGTGGGGAAGGCAGATGAGGAAACAAACACGTTTATACAAGGGAGGTGGCAGGTGCTCTGTGGGCCAGGGGCAAGGGAAACGGCCCATCTGGGTGGCTTCAGAGGTCAGTCCTGGTGGAGGAGTAGGGGTCCCAGGTCTAGGGGGTGGGGTGGGAAAGAAAGAGCATTCTAGTCAGAAGGCACAGCCCAGAAGGCTGACCGCAGTGGGCTGGAGTGGTCAGGCCAGGCAGGGAAAGAAGCACGGCTGCTACAGGGAGGACAAGGAAGGGAGGAAGAAGGTCCGGGCAGGGCTTCCTGGGCTGAAGGAACCGCATGTGTGTTGGTCGAGAGAAGAACCTGCAAGCCCACAAAGAGGGTGGTGGTGAGGTCACGGGGGGTAGGGGGAGGTAGGGGTGGCTCCCTCTGCAAGCATTCTTCCAAAGTGATGCCTTCTCAACAAATTTTAAGCGTGATGCATGTTGACAAAAAAGGTGAAGTGATCAGATATCAGTGGGCACAGTCTGGGCACCATCTGACCGGGACGCCAGGGGCTGACAGATTCACAGAGAGCTGTCAGTGCGTGGCGTCCCTTAGTCAGGCAACACATATTTATCGACTGCCCACCTGTGCCAGCTGCTGCTGTAGGCAATGGGATGCAGTGGGGCCCGAGGCGGACAGAATGCCTGCCAAGAAGAGAACCCACGGCGGGGAGTGGGGTCAGAGGCTCAGGAGGTGGCCCCAGGGCAATGTGGGGATGGCCCCTGAGCGATGGAGATGGCAAGGGAGATGTGGCAGGTGTTTGCCCACCCACACTGCAGCCCGAGGCCTCTCTGAAGCAACACAACGCCCCTGGGGAGGGGGAGATGCACAGGGAACTGTGCCCAGCCCAGAAGGAAGAGCCAGCATCCGGTCTCCACACCGCCCCCTTTCCTCACTGGGGGAGCTCCACCAAGCTGGGAGGGGGCTGATGAGCAGGCGGGCAGCCAGGGGGTGAGGGTCCTGAGCTGTGAGCACCAGAGGGAAGCCCTCTAAATTCCTCTAACGCCGTGTGATGCTTTTGAGGTTCAGGGAGCTTGCAGTTAAAACTTAGCTGCATTCAACAAAACTAAATATCCACTCAAGGGGCCGAACCCCGGCGGAGCGGTTAAGTTCACGCACTCCACTTCAGCAGCCCAGGCTTTTGCCAGTTTGGATCCTGGGCGCAGACCTAGCACCACTCATCAGGCTGTGCTGAGGTGGCATCCCACACAGCAGAGCCAGAAGGACCTACAGCTAGAATACACAACTATGTGCTGGCGAGAAGGGAATGGGATTTGGAGAGAAGGGGAAAAAAAATCCATTCACGATAAAACTCAGCAACCAGAAGAGAAGGGAACTTCCCCAACCTGATGAAGGGCGTCTACAAAACCCCCCAGCTAAGACTACACTTATTTAGAGCAAGACTAAACGCCGTCTGCTCGAGGGCAGGAGCAAGTCAAGGGCATCCGCTCGCACCAGGCAACACTGTACTGTACCGGAGGGCTGAGCGACTGCTGGCAGGCCAGGCGAACGAGAGGCACACGGACCAGAAGTCCGAGGACAGCTGTCCCCAGACTGCATAACTGTCTACTGAGCAAACCCCAAAGAATCTGCAAAAAGCTCCTAGAGCTAGTGCGTGAGTTTAACAAGGGAGCAGGATATAAGGGTCACAAAACCAACTGTATTTCTATAGACCACAACGAACAACCGGACACTGAAATTAAAAGCAGTGCCATCTATGGTAGCAGCAAAAAGAGAAGGAAGGAAAAAAAAAGAAAAATACTTAGGGACAAATGTAATAAAAGATGAACAAGATTTGTATGCTGAAAACTATAAAATATTAGTGAAAGAAATCAAAGACAGGGGCCGGCCTGGTGGCGCAGTGGTTAAGTTCACATGTTCCGCTTTGGCGGCCCGGGGTTCACCAGTTTGGATCCCGGGTGTGGACATGGCACCGCTTGGCAAGCCATGCTGTGGTAGGTATCTCACATATAAAGTAGAGGAAGATGGGCACAGATGTTAGCTCAGGGCCAGTCTTCCTCAGCAAAAAGAGGAGGATTGGCAGCAGATGTTAGTTCAGGGCTAATCTTCCTAAAAAAGATATATATATATATATACACACATACATATATACATATAAATCAAAGACAAACAAATGGAGGTATACAAGTAAGTGGACTAGAAGTCTTAAAAACATCTCTTCAAAAGACAGCGTTAAGAAAAGAAAAAGTCAATTCCGAGCCTAAAAGAAAACATTTGCAAAACACGTACCTGATAAAGGACTGGTATGCAGACCATAGAATGAACCCTCAGAACTCAGTAAGAAAACAAATAAGCCAGTAAAAAATGGACAAATGATTTGAACAGACATTCCATCAAAGAAGATATATGGGTAGCAAATAAGCACATGGAAAAAAGATCAAAATCAGTAATCATTAGGAAAATGCAAAGTAAAACCACAATGAGGGCCAGCCCGGTGGCGTAGTGGTTAAGTTCACGTGCTCCGCTTCGGCGGCCTGGGGTTCGCCAGTTGGGATCCTGGGCGTGGACCCAGCATAGCTCATCAAGCCATGCTGAGGCGGCGTCCCACACAGCACAACCTGAAAGCCCTACAGCTAGGGTATACAACTATGTGCTGGGGCTTTGGGGAGAAAAAAAAAAGAGGAAGATTGGCAACAGATGTTAGCTCAGGGCCAATCTTCCTCACCAAAAAGGATACCTTTAACTAACTAGCTAACTAACTAAATAAATAAAACAAACCACAATGACATATCACGACTGTACGATTATCAGAATGGCAAACAGACAGCAACGGACAATACCAAGTGCTGAGCAAGGACACAGAGCAACCGGAACTCTCAGACCTGGCTGGTGGGAATGCAAAATGGTAAAAAAGCCACTGTGGAAAACAGCTTGGTAGTGTCTAATAAAGCCGATCATACAATCCAGCAGTCCCACACCTAGGTATTTACACAAGAGAAATGAACGCATATGGCCACACAAAAGCCAGTACATGAGTGTTTACAGCAGCTTTATTCTCAAAAGCCCCAAACTGGAAACAACCCAAACATCCTTCAGTGAGTGAAGAGCTAACCTGTGGTACACCCACACAACGGAAGACCCTTCCAGAGTAAAAAGGAATGAACTGACGATACAACACGCGACTCAGACAACTCTCAAGAGCCTGAAGCTTAGTGGAAGAAGCCAGTCTCAAAAGGCTGCACACAGAATATACACTGCAGGGTTGGACCACAATGTGTTTCTCTGTCACCAGTGATGGACATTTGTGTTGTTTCCAATTCTTTGGTTATTACAAATGAAGCTGCTATGAAAATTTGAGCACAAGTCTTGGTGTGGACATATGTCTTCGTTTCTCTTGGGTAAATATGTAGGAGTTGTATGATAAGTGTATTTATATGACATCCTGGAGAAAGCAAAACTTTAGAGATAGCTAAGAGGAGGTGTCAAATAGGTGAAGAGATGAGTCTGAAATCAGAAGAGAGATGTAGGGACCGGTCCCGTGGCCGAGTGGTTAAGTTCACACGCTCCGCTTTGGCGGCCCAGGGTTTCACTAGTTCAGATCCTGGGTGCGGACATGGCACCGCTTATCAGACCATGCTGAGGCAGCGTCCCACACAGCACAACAGAGGCATTCACAGCTAGAATATACAACTATGTACCGGGGGCTTTGGGGAGAAGAAGAAAAAAAAAAAGATTGGCAACAGTTGTTAGCTCAGGTGCCAATCTTTAAAAAAAAAAAAAAGAAAGAAATATGTACAAGACAAGAAAAGACAATCCCAAAGAAAAATTGCCCAAAAACTTCAACAAACAGGATATCCAGATGGCAAATAAATACACAAAAGGTACTCAACCTCATTAGCTGGGGGGAAATGCCGACTAAAACTATACAGACGTTTGAAGGCTGGTGGAAATAATGCCAATGAAAAAGGGCAAAGGATGTGGGCAGACATTTCACCTCTGGGAAGATACATGGATAGCACATAAGCCGCACCACCCCTTGACTGCGGTGGTGGTGGTTACGAGGGTGTGTAAACATGTCAAAACTCACTTTTAAAATGGGTACATTTTCTGGTAAATTATACCTCAGTGAAATTGACTAAAAAATAAAGGAAAGAAACATAAGGAGCTATCGCTACTCACTCACCAGCGTGGCTAAAATGGAAGATGCTAGCAAACCAACTGGTGGAGAGGATATGTAGCCACGAGCACTCATTTGCTGCTGGTGCGTGCAAACGGCGAGGGCTTCGGGAACCCGTGTCTACTAAAGCTGAGCAAGCGCCTGCCCGTGCCCCGGCCATTCCGCCCCTGGGTGTGCACCCACACGTGCGCACAGAGGAGCTGCAAAGCAACGGTCAGAGCAGCGCTGTTTGCAACAGTCCCAAACTGCAAAGCCGAGTGCCCTTCAGCAATAGGATGGAAGAGTGACGCCTGGCAAATTCAGGCGCTGGAACACCAGAGAGCGTGGTGCGAGATGGAACCGCTGCTGCCAGCGGCAAGGATGGAGCTCAAGAAGTGGACGCCGAGTGGGGGAAACCAGACAGCAAGGCCATGCGGTGGGGACCCACCGCTCTAAGGTTCAAGCATGCACAGGGTGACTCTTGGGGGGCAGGACTGGGAGGGGGCTTGAGGGGTCTCCTGGGGTCCTGGTTCTATTTGTTAATCTAAAAGCTGTTACATGGGTTTGTTTGGGGAAAATTTGTTGAGCTATGCATTTAGGATGTGGGAACTTTTCTGTACATGTAATTCAATAAACATTTACTTAGAAAAGAGGCCCAGACTAGTGATATCAAAGTTATGAAGTCATCAGCATAAAGGTGAGGAGAGCTGAGTATTCAAAGTCGTGAGAGGGAAAAGCTCATGGACGCAGGGCAGGGAGACTCCCTCGAGAGAGGCCCGGGAAAGAGGGCCAGCAAGGGAAATTGGGGAGAGGCCTGGAGGTTGGAGGGGCCGCCACAGGGCACGGGAGGGGCGTTTCCAGGAGCGTGTGGTCAGGCTGAGTTGGGACGGAGGGCGCTGGGCATTGGGGCTTGGAGCTCGGGGAGTGCAGGGGTGGAGGCTGGCTGCGAAGGGGCGAGGTGTAGAGAGAGCAGAGAGAAGTGTGGCTGTGGGGGGCCTAGAGACCCGAGATGGTGGCAGGAGGGGACGTGTGCTTTGGGAGATGGGAGTCTCTGGAGCGTGTCTATGAGCTGAGAGAGGAGAGGAGCCAGGAACTGTCCTGCAAGGGCCAGGTCGGAGGGAGGCCTGGCCTGACCAGGGCGGGAGGAGAAGGGGCGGGGTGGAGGCTGCAGTGGGATCAGGTGCTGGACCAAGGGAGGGGGGACAAAGGCACGTTAACCCTTCCATGCCTGCTCCTCCTCTGAGAGCACGGATCACAGGGGCCTGGAGGACGGGCAGCCAGTCCGGGCTGCCCGCACAGCACCAGGAGCCCACCACGAGCAGCTCTCTGACTGCGGCTGCCACCGCCCTGATGTGGTGTCTCCAGACCAGGCCTTCCCGACTCGCCAGGGTGGCTCCTGGTCAGCAGAGGTCAGCTGCCCTGGTCAGCAGCCCTCTCACCTCCTTGCCAGCCAGCCTGGAGCCTCCATCGGTCTGGGACCCTCTGAGCCCAGCCTCCCCGACCCCTGGCGTGGGCCACACCCACCACTACCTGCTTGGAGTAGATCTTCAGGAGCTTGTTGACCGGCGTGCCTTCATTGTCCCCGTCGAACTCCAGCCACAGGGCGGACTCCTCCTCCTCAGGGGAGGTGTGGTCCCATGACAGCTCCTGGAAGTGCAGGCCCAGCAGGACGTGCTGGCCAGCGGGAGATGCAGAGTTTGGACTCCCTGGGCAGAGGCCTGATCCCCAATCCCATCTCGCTCGGTTGCCACCAGGAGGAGACACCTGGCTAGGCTATTTACCTCTAAGTTTGTGTGTGAGTTTCTCTATCCAAAGGGGGCTGTGGTCCAGGGAGGCCGAGAACCCCTAACCCACAGCACTTCTCGTCAGCGGGTCAAGCCCCTGACCGCTGGGCCGGTCACATGGGGTAAGAAGCAGGTGGGGAGAAGAGCTTTTCCGTGAGATCAGTTGGGCAGCATCTCACCAGGAGGCTCAGCTGGGCCCGGGATGTTGGGGCACAGATGCCCAGGAGGGGTTGAGGTCCCTCTCTGGGGACAACCAGAAGTCATCCAGAAGTTTTCTGCTGGTCTAGGAGGGACTCCTGCCCAGATGCAGGAGGCTGCCCCACAGGGTGGGCTGCTGACATCAACCTCTACAGGGGCAGCCCAGAGACAGCCCAGAAGGGCTCCCAGTCGTGGGGCTTTTCTGGAAAACCACCAGCTAGTCTCCACCAGGCCCTGCCAGATTCCCTCCACTCAGAGGCGCTAATCCTAGCTGCGGCCTCCCCCTACCCTGGCCATCCCCCTGCCTAGCACACTGGGCAGAGAAGCTGGTCCAGAGCAGTCCCAGGGAAGCCCCCAGGATGACAGTGGCCACCCACGCTGCCCTGCCCCCAGGCCAACCAGAGGCCCAGGGGAACCCGGAAGGCCTGCGTAAGGACCCCACTCCCTTCCTCTCCACTGAGGCCCCCCCAGGTCCCACCCTGGAGGAGCCGGAGGTACCTTCTCCCTGCTGTCGATGACATGCACGCCCTCCAGACTGATGGCTACGGCCACTGGCTTTCGCCCACCCCGGTGTAAAAAGCTCTGGGCTGGCTTGTCAACTTCACCATGGAAGAAGGCACACCTGGGGAGAGGAGGTGGCGTCAGCCCGTGCCCTCCAGCGAGTGCTCCGGCCAGGCCCTGTCCCAGGCAGCTGAGAGGCTGAAGCTGTTCGGGTGACTGAGGTTAAACAGAAACCCATCCCAGACGAGGAAGAAACTGAGTGGGGACGAGAGAGAGGCTTCGTGGAGGTGGTGGCATCTGAGCTTGTCGTGCAGGACAAGAGCGTTTCAACAGGTGGGAGGGGGAATGGGGTGGCACAGAGAAGGGCAGGCGCCACAGGCAGAGGGAAGAGCATGAATGGGGTGTCGGACAGAGCAAGTTACATGCAGGGACCGCCAGGAGCCCAAGGACTCGGGGCTCCAGGGGTTGGGGCTGAGGCTTCTGGAGGTGGCCAGGCCACATCAGGGCTGGGAGAGCCCCGCTGCCCATTGCCCGCCAGGCCAAGACCCTTCAGCAGCGAGAGGGTCAAGGCTGCCCCTGCTTGGGGCCCAAGAGGGCATGGGGGCTGCCCAAGGAAGCAGCTCCAGGGCTCAATACTGAGACGGCGAAAGGGATGCAGTGGCCTTAGGACGCCAACCCACTGAGCTGCCACCCTCTCCCTCCTGCCCCATCATGTCCTCTCCCACTCCTGCGGCTGCCCTGGCCTCTCCCGGCTTGCACTTGGCTAAGCCAGAGGCCTTGTGAAAGCCCAGCAGTGACTGCCTGCCCCTGCGCAGCGTGACAGGCCTGGAGACCAGCGCCTGCGACCTCAATTCCCGAGAGCAGCCCCACTCCTGTCCCTGCGCCTGGACTTCTACAGGCTCCATGATGGCTGGGACTGGATTCCTGTGTCCCCAAGGAAACTGATGGAACCAGAAGAGCAGTCACTGGCCCATCCTCATCTCAATTTATCCCTCTTGACTGGATCGTCCCTATAGCACGGGCACCTTCTGCCCAACGGAAAGCAAACACCTTTGTCCCCACCACATCCACAACTGCTCCTCCACCTTGACTCCCTCTCCCCACGCAGCTCCTCGAAAGAGTGGGTTGCACTCACTGTCTCAGTCCTTTTCTCGCTCTCCTCCACCCACGGCCACCTTCACAGTGCTGGAGCCAAGGTCAACCATCAGCCACACACGACATGTTGAGCTTGACCTCGAGCACAGCATGGGACGCTGGGTCATTCCTCCTCAACATCTCCCTTCGCTTGGCTGACACAGACCCTCCCGCCTTGCTCTGGGGTCCTTCTCCCGCCTGGTCCACACTCGCCTCCTTGGCCATCTCCTGGGGCTCCCGGTTTCAAACTCCATCCACGTGCTGAAGACACCAATTACCGCCCGACTCTGGACCCAGAAACCCAAATGCGCACTCGGAATCACCACCCAGGTATATGGCGAGTACCCCAAAATCAACACATCCAAAACCAAGCCCCCGACCTTCCCTGCCAGCTCCACCCGGCGTGGTCTCATCTCAGCTGATGACAACGCCATCCTCCAGCTGCTCGGGCCAGAAGCCTGGAGTCCTCCCTGCCCCTCTCATTCACCTCTTCCACTGCACATCCATCCAGCAAATTCTGCTGACTCTGCCCCCAGCGTCTCCGGAATCTGACCACGTCTCACCTCCTATGTCATCACCACCTGGCCTGAGCCACACTGCCCCTTTGGAGTATTGTCACACCATCCTCACTGGTCACCAGGCTGCTGCCCCCACCCACCTGTCTCCCTCTCCCCTACAACGATGGCTTTACCAGACAGGGATTACAGTCTCTTTGCTCACTGAGGTGTCACCAGCACCTACAGTGCAGGCACATAGTAGGTACACAAGGGCTGTGGGCTGGACGCTGACTGCGTGAATGAGAGAGCTGGCTGCGGGGAAGGTCAGCAGGTCCAATGACCAAGTGACTGGGGCAGATGAAGGAGAGGACCTGCCCGGGGTGTCCTGGCCTGTGACAGGAGGAAGCAGAGGACAAGTGTCCAGCTTGGGACCCGTGGGGCCTGAGGTGCTGACATTACGACACACCTCGTGACAGAGCTCAGCTGGGGCAGAGTTGGGCTCACTGGCTGCCTGTCCTAGCAAAGGCCAAGAGAGACTGCTGGGCTGTCAGGGGAAAGGGATGGAGGAGACCCAGGGCTGTGGCTGCCATGACGACGACATGAGGGAGCGGCTCACCCGTAGAAGGGCAGCTCGTGGCACTTGAGGAGGTAGGCACGGTAGTGGGTGCTCAGGGAGGCCTCGTGCTCGCCGACTACTTCCTGCACCCTGCGGTAGGCATTCAGCAGGCCCTGCTCGCCTGTCCCAGCCTTGGTCCCCCGGCCCCGGAGCGCAGCGAAGAGCCCGTGGCCCCGCTTACAGAGGTGGGCAGGGAGGAAGGAGTCCAGCTTCTCCCTGTGGAGGAAGGAAGATGGGCGCTCAGCATGAGAGGCCCCAAGGTTGGGAGCTGGCCAGAGCCACCGAGGTCCTGGGGGTGCGGCCACGCTCACAGGGGAGAGGAGGGGAGGTGAAGTGTGGACATGGCCCGCCAGGGACCCCACTGCCCACGTTCCCAGCGGCATGCTTGGCTGATGAGAGGCCTGAAGGAAACGTCGGGAGACAGAGATAAGAGTGGAAACCAGGCCCAGCCCGGGACCAGACTGGCAGGAGGGCTTCAGAGCAACGTCTGTGTCACTGAGTCGGGAAGGTTTGGTTTCTGAACCAGTGGAATTTCACAACCAAAAACTGGGACAAGTGAGCTAGAGCTATGCATGTTTTGTTCTGCCAAATAAAGATGTAAAGAAAACACAACCTCCACGCCATCAGCACAGGTTCATGAAAGCAAGGGCATCTTCCACCCCCCACACACAAACTAGGAAAGCACCTTGGTGGAACCGCAGTTTCCCCATCGCGGGCAGCGCAGTGATCCTGCGGGCCGAGCACTGGCCGTTCCAGGTGAACTGCAGTTGGACACTCAGTCTTTGCACAGTGAGCACCCTCTCTGAGCCTCAGTTTCCCCATGTATAAAATAAGGACACTAATCCCAACTCATGTGGAAGGGCTGGCATGTGCCTGGCCATGCACCTGGCATCAAACAAGTTGAGGTTGTCATTTTCACTGAAGAGAGGAGGGGTCCCTGCTGGGCTTCTGGAGGACCAAACACTGCATGTCATGGGGAAGGGCAACGGCCCAGCGGGAAGGCTGACACGAGGAAGGAACCTGTGCTAGCCTGGAGGGGAGCAACTGTAGAGTGGCATGAGGACGGGTGTCCAGAGGCTGCCCATCCCCCTTAGGGCTACTGTTGGCATTTTCATCATTTGTCCCCCTACATCCCTTCTCCCAGCAACAGCTCTCACTTCTCATTTGGAAATCCAGCCTTCCCCACTTTGAGCTCATGGCGGGCCCCAAGGGAGGAGCTTGGCCTCAGCCAATCAGGGCCCTGGTCACTGTGTCTCCTTTGGGTGGACCTGGGACCCAGCCATCCAGTCATCAAAGTGAGTCTGAGGGCTCTGGTCATATAAGGAAAGAGGCCTCTCCTTGCCAATGTGCAACTGCTGCGGCCACCTGGCCACTGCGAGGCAAGAGCCTACCTGAGTACAACCTAGTCCACAGAGGACACACCGGTGGGTGAGGAGAGCAAGGACAGGGGTCCGGAGGCCCTGCACCTCAACCACCCCGGACCTGTCCATTACTCGAGTTGACAAGGTCCCTCAATCCAAACAGTTGGACCTGGTTTGCTGTCACCTGCAATAGGAAGAGACATGCCCATCACGAGGGCCAGCATCCCCAAGGCCACCTGTCTCAAGCAGGCTCAGCTGAGAGCCCTCAGGCTCCACTGGGCCAGGGGCAGTCCCCACTGGGCCCCAGCGGTTAGTCACCAGGCACAGGGCCCTGTCTCTGCACGTCCTCTCCCCTGGGGTCTAGAAAAAGGCTGGGCTGAAAGTTCATTTTCTTTGGAATTATATCTAAACCTCAGGGTCATCGTCTACAGAGGTGAGAGCCCAGCCTGGTCTGTTTCTGGGGCAGACTGAATCCTCGTGACCCAGAGCCCTGCCAATTCACACAGCAAAGAGCCCGGTTTCTCTTTCTTGAGGGAGGGGCTGGAAGCGCAGAGCCGGGATGCTGGAGTGTCTAGAGAATGAGCGTCATTCTGGAGTCTGGGACTAAGCTGCACTGTCACCGGTGACTGGGGGTGAGGATTTGGTCAGTCCCCAGCTATGACCCCAAAAGAACAAGCCCAACTCCCTTCTGACCTCAGACGGAGGCTGGGCTCCACCCTCACGCACATCCGGGGCTCCTCTCACAGATGTCACTTCACCAAGTTTTCTGCTGCCCAGGCCCTCAGCCCACAGCAGATGAGGAAAAGGAGGCTCAGAGAGGCAGAATGACTCACCCAAGGTCACACAGTGTCCACCAGCCCTGAGGCTGAGGCCTCTGGACTCCAGGACCTTGCAAGACCACTTGTAAGCAGCATTCCGGGGCAACTCTCCCCCTCACTGTGCCCCTGCGTCAGCTCACACTGGCCCTCACCTCAGGGTGCAGGCAGCGGGCAGGCCAGGCTGGTAGGGCCCGAGCTGCACACGGCACACCAGGGCGCCCAGGGCCTCGCAGTCCTCGAGGTCACACGGGTACCGAGCAGCCAGCACGTTGCCCTTGGCCTCCTCATAGAGCAGCCGAAGGACGTCCTCGTCGTGGATCTGCGGGCCGGGGTGGCAGGGAAGGCCGCTCAGCTGGGCCGCAGCACCAGTGTCCAGGGGTCTGGGGACAAGGGGAGGCTGGACACAGGGCCCCAGACTGGGCGGGACTGCCTGGGGCTCGCCACCTCACCTGGAGCTCCCGCCGCCTTGGGAAAAACACGTTCCTTCGGAACTGCAGGGCAGGCTCATCTGGGGAGAGAGGCTGGGATCGCTGCCTGGCCGCCTCGCTCAGCCAGCCAGCCCTCTCCCGACTGGCCCAGTCCCCAGTCCCCACCCCTCACCCACCACGACTGAGAAAGCCCGAGGGCTGTCCAGAGAGGGGGCTGCGCGGCTTGTCTCCATGTGCTCGCTGTCCCCCCGGCCCTCCCTCTCCCGGGTTCCCCTCAGGGATCCCTCGCTCCCCTGCCAGGAGCGGCTGACTGAGCCTGGGGGACAGCTCCTCCCTGGGCCCAGGGGACCCCCGAGACAGGCACACGCAGGCGGCAGCACTGACCCATGGCCACGTCGTCGTCCGGGGCGTCGGTGAAGCGCAGCAGCAGTTCTGGCCACTGGCGGCCCAGCTTGTAGGGCTGGTGCTTGGGCTTCAGCTGCACCTCTGCAGGGAGGGAGGGCAAGCGGCCCATGCGGCCTCTGACCAGCGCCACTGCCGCCCACCAATGACGACAGCGGCAGCCACGGCCAATGCTAACTGAGCAGGCACTAAGCGTCCAAAACCATTTCAGGTGGTTTTCGTGCATTTGCCCTGCAACAATCCTATCCTCATTTCACCCATAGGAAAAAATGAGGCTCAGAGAGATCAAGCTGCTTGTCCAAAGTTACACAGCAAGTGAGAGGGGTCAGACTCCAGGCACAGCCAGCCTCTGACTGTTCCTTATAGCGCCCAGGGTGGGCTGGAGCTGAGAGGCTGTGGCAGACAGGTGCTGGGGGGACCGTGGTGCCATTAGGAAGCAGAGCCCGAAGCTGGTAACTGAGAGCCAAAGCCCGAGGGGTTGCTCTCTCCTGCTCCTGCTGGAGCCTGGGCCTCCCCATCGCCAGCCCCAACGCCCACCCAGCATCTCCCCTGGGAGCTCTAGCTGACCCTCCATCCTGCAAGCTCCTTGCCTCCATGGCCCACAGGCAGCATGCCATCCAGCGCCCGCTTCATTGCCTTCTCTCACTCCGTCTCCTACTCTGCTCCTGCCACTCGCACCTTCGTCAATTGCTTGAACATTCCCAGCTTGTTTGTGCATGGAGCCTTTGCACTTGCTGTTCCTCGTGCCTCAGACACCCTTCCCTCAGATCCTCACATGGCTGGCTGTCATGGGTGTCAGTTCAAACGTCACCTTCCCTGGACCCTTAACTAAGGCAGCCTCTCCTCATCACCTGTCACACCAATCGCACCCTCATGTGATTGCCTTTACAGCATTTATCACTAGCTGACATTGCCTCACCATCCAGGAGCAGCTCTGTCCTGTTCACTGCTGTGCCCCTGACCTGTCGCGACCCTCACCATGGATCCGCAGAACGACTGAATGTACCCCTCAACTCCGGGCTGTCAGCCAGCCCCAGGACTCAAGTCCCCAGGCCAGGAATGACAACTGTTTTCATCTCACACACCAGCGCCCACGGTTGGTCTGAGAGGTCGGAGGCCATTTCCAAGTCCATCTGGTGATGAATGAGGATGGCTGCCGGAGCGGGGGAGGAAGCGCAGGAGGGGGAAGGGCCATATGCATGCCATGTACCAGCTACCACTGCCTTCTGACCCTTCTTTCCCCTTTACCCCTTCCGTCCTCCCATCAGAGGGCCAGACACCTTGTCCCGCCAGCCTGATGCCAAGGGTCCTGGCCTCTGCTCTTTGGGTTTCCATCTGGACCCTAATCTTAACCCAAAACGGCAGCCACAGCCTCCACATTGGCCGCCCTCCCTGCCTACAGCCTCTTCCATCCAACCCCATGTTCAGTTTCTTCACACTCCTTTCTTCTCCCGTCACTTCTCTGATCCTGATTTCCCAGCGGCCCTCATTTCCAACCTACATCCTTGGCCACAGCCATGTGTCGCCACCCCTGCCTCACCACTCGCCAGGAGGGGAACGTGCCATTTGCAGGCTCTTTCCATCTGGATGTTCACAGGACACCAGAGCTAGGAGGGCATCCACTTTACAGGTGGGAAACTGAAGCCCAAAGACAGTGCCCGCTCGCGGCCACCAGAAGGAGCGGCTAAACCAGGACCAGAGTTCCACCTGCCCAGCCTCCTGCACACGCTCTGACCTGGGAGGTCCCTGAGCACAGGGATCCCTTCAGTCCTGTTCCATGTTTATCCCCAGCATCCAGATCGCTGCCCAGCATGAGGGGGGCTCTGCACACACTTGTGAGATGAACCAGGTAACTGACTAGTGGGGACCCCTGACACCCTGTGGGGGAGGTGGATGCGGGACAAGGGTGCCCATCCTTCCGCCTACGGCCCAGCCCTGACCAGCCTTAAACCCTGAGCCCCAGCAGCTCAGAGGACTCCCATTATCAGAAGTGTGTGGTCCCACACACATCCAGATGGGGCCTTCCTGCCTGGAGGCTGTCACCCAAACAAGACTGGCAGTCCCTGGAGCCGTGTTCCATGCAGAGTGACAATGGCATTGAGAAGGTCAAACCCTCCCAAACATCAGCTTGAAGGGCGGCTCCAGCGATGGCACCCCCTCCCTGCCTCACAGCCCTGGGGCATCTGTCACTGGTGCACCCACTCTGGGGGGGTGAGGGGCAAGCGTTCTGAGGGTCCAAATCAAAGCTGAAGTGGCCTTTCAGCCTTTCTGAACCCAGCCTGGGAACAAAGTGGGCACTGACTGGAGGGGGTGGGGCCCCAGGGTGACCCAGCAAGCCACACAGGCAGTCCATTCACCTTCTCCTGAGGGGGGAGCAGGAATGTGAGGAGGAGGGAGTGGGGGCAGAGGAAGTGGGAGGAGGCCGCAGACTGCCTGCTGGAGGGACCAGGAGCCTGAGGCAGCACACGGGACACCACCCCCAGCTTTCCAAAGACACAGGCCAAAGGGGCCACGGCCCCAAGCAACGGCCGAGAGGGTGAAGGAGGGGCAGCTGAGCTTGGGGGAGCGGCCGGAGGAGACTGGTCAGCAGGAAGAGGGTGGGCGAGAGCAGCAGCTGGGCAGGAAGCTCCAACTGGCCAGTGGGGGTGGGGGACAGGCGCTCCCTCTCCCACCAAGCCAGCTGGTATCCTCCTCCCAGGGGGGAGCACAAGCCCCAGGGGCCCTGGGAGAGGACAGAACCACTAGGGGCCCCAGGCACCCGTCGTCCTCTTCTTGCCCCTGTTCCTCTGTAAGGCAGGAAAACATCTAAGCTCCGAAAACATGTTTGGTCTTGGCACCAACTGGAGCATCCTCTCCCCGGCCCCCTTCCTGTCCAAGTAGCAGGCTAGAAACCCTATTCAGAGGCCTCAGGGAGCTCCCACCCTCCGCCTCCCCCAGGCCTGAAAGTCTGGAGAACCATGGCCCCGACTCCCACCCCATCCCCGCCTTGGGATCTCAGCCCAAAAGGCAGGACACAGTGGTCCCTGGGCCAGAAACCAGAGAAGTCGGGTTCCCACGTGTCCTGCTCTCCCTACCCTCAGGAAAAGCCTCCTCCTCAGGGGTGGCTGCTTCCTGGGTCTGGTCCCCTCTTCCTCCCTGTCCCCAAAGAGCAGGATGCAGTTCAAAGAGGCCCGCTGGGGGGCCAGCCAGCTTCCCTTCTGACCTCGGTCCTGCCGCTCACTGGTCCCACCACTCTGAACCTCAGCCTCTTCATCTACAAGACAAGGCTGAGCCGCGGGCATCAGGTGAAAGTCTGCTCTCCAAAGGCCAGCTCAGGTTGTGGCACAGACCATGTGCTCAGTGAACACAGACCCCTTCCCTCCCTGCCCCCCAGTCCTGCTCCTCCTGATGACGCACCTGGGTCCAGGACCACTGAGCCTGAGGGGCAGGCTTGGGCCTCCTCTGCCACCAGCAGAAAGAAGGGGCAGAGGAGCCGGGCATTGTCTCAGGGCTCTGGGTCCTGAAAGTGGTGCACGGCTCCAGGACACACACAAATCCCATCTTCTCCTGATGCAGAGCGGCCAGAGGTTCTGGAAGCTGCCCCCTCCCTGCCCAGTGGTCAGCGCCTTTCCAACCCTCCCACCTGCCAAGCCTTACCCAGCAGAGGGGAGACAAGCCAGAGCGCGAAGGCCTCCAGGGCGATGTCCGGGAGCTGCAGGACCTCACGGACAGCACGGTGCAGCTCGTGGGCACTGAGCGAGGGCAGGTTCTCCACGGCCAGGGGCACCACCGTGTCATCCGCCAGGTACACCAGCACGTCAGCTGCTGCAATGGAGGCAGGCGGGGTCAGCTGGGCCCACCGCCCAGGCACAAGCCTACTAACAGGCACCTTCCACCCTCCACCGGGGCTGGAGCCCCCACCCTACACCCCTTGGGGTGACCAAGGCTACAACTCCAGAGGGAGAGTCCTGGTGTCCCCAAAGGACCCTGTGAAGAGTGCAGTCTGTTAGGACTTACTCAAGACCCTCAAACCACGCAGAAACCCAGCAACTCTGGCCCCACCCTAACCCCTACCAGCCTGGGACCGGGGAGGGCTAGTGACCCACTGTCCTTAGCCAAGTCGCTGCCTCTCTCTGGCCCAAGCTAAGATGGAACCAGGATTCCTAGAGTCCTCCCAGGGCAAAGCAAGTTCCAGGCCTCAGCTTCCTGAGGACTTTTCAAGGCTCAGGACTCAGTACCATGGCCTTTCAGGACAGTCTTAAACCGGCCAGGAGAAGTACAATCCAAAATGCTGAGCGATCCCTTGTGACCGCCTGTGGGATTCCTATTTGGAGCCCAGAGGCAAAGGGAGACCCTTGGAAGAGCAGCCAGATTCAATCCCCTGGAACTGTGGGTGCCGTGAAAGGGCACTGAGCTGGGAGGCCAGGACGCTCGGGTTCCGATCCTGGCCTGGCCTCCCGCTTGTTGGCTGACTTCGGCAAGTCAGTATGTCAATTGCCTCATCTGTAGATTATCACTAAGACTCCTCCCCTCAAAGAATGGCTGTGAACCAAATGAGGAGAAGCCTGTGAAAGGCAACGGTGGGGTTTATCACTAACACAAGTGAGGGCGCTTTTCAGATGTCCAGTCTGTTCTGCTCTCACAGCTACTTTCTTGAGAGATCACAAAATAATCTCCAGGAGGCTGAGATTCAGACCCACTTTTCAAGTAGGGAAAACTGAGGCATGGAAGGCTCCAGTACCCTGTGACTTAACCTGCCTAGGGCCCAATTTCCTTCCCATAAGATGAAGATAATGATCCTTGCTTTCAAAAGGCTGTTTGTGAGAAAGTAAACAAAGAAAGGGAGTGTGTCACTTTTCATTCATGAGATTCTATCTGAATTTCAGCTACGTGAGACACGCTCATTTTACAAATGAGGACAGAGAGATTCAAGAAGAGTCCCCAACTTGGTCAGCGCCTAATGACAAAACCTAGGTCCTCTGAATGACTTCTGTCACTTTTTCACGCTTCAACATACCTTACTTGTTAATGAATACAGAAAATTCTTTTCGGTGAAAGAGATGACAAGCCAGGGCCACTTCCCCAGGGCTGGGGCCCCAGGAGAGTATGGCGAGGAGGAGATGGGGACAAGGACCCACCTCGGGCTCCCACGGAGGACACACTGCTTCGATGGGACCGCTCAGCGGGGCCAGGTTGCCCGGCATTGCCTTCCGTGCCGTCCATCTGCAGAGGGAGAGAAAGAGCAGTGACTTGGGGTCTGGGGATGCGAGGTTGGGGAGCCCCTCAGCTCTCACTCAGGGAGGGAGGGGTCCTAGACTGATCTGCGAAGGTGAACCACGGTGCCCGGGGGCACTAGTGTGCAGACTAGGGAGGTGGGGGTGGGAGTGGGGGTGACAGCCGACTAGAGGTCAGGGCTGACAGGAGGGGTCAGGGCCGCGGTGGTCAGGAGCGGGGTCGGAGCTCGGCTTGCCGGGATGCAGGCAGGGCAGGGCGCACCCCCGGCCGGGGCGGGAGCCCGGGCAGGGCACCATCGCGCTCTCACCTCGCAGAGACGCAGAGCCCGCTGCCTCAGCCCGGGCTTCTGCCCTGACTGCGACCCCTCACTCCCGCCCCGCCGCCCCCTGGCTCCCGCCCGGACTCCAGCTCCCGGGGCTGCGACGCGGAAGCTGGGGCGGAGGAAGCGCTGCGCGCACGGCCCCGCCTCCCCGGCCCGCGGGAACCAATCGGAGCGCGGCGCCGCCGCGCACGCGCCCTGGCCGCGCCCGCGCGCTCACGCCCCTCGCGGGCCCGCGCATGCCCGGGACGCCGATCCGCTAGTCTGCGTCTGGTTCCGCCTGAGGGATGGCCGCGCTGCGAAGCGGCCCCGCCACCAACCCCAGTGACCGAGGGCGATGGCTCCCACACACAGGCCCAGACTGATGGCCTGTAACAGGGTGTGGCGAAGGTTCAAGGCAGTCGGGGATAGGGACGCGAGCTCCGGCACTCCTTTGCGTGTGACTTGGGGCCGGACCCCTCACCCGTGGAATGGAGATGCTTCCTGGGCCGTGTCAGGGATCCACAATGATCTGGGCCCGGGCGAAGGAGACGCAGCAACGGCCTGTACTGCAGCGCCCTCAGGCCGTGGGGGTGATGGGCTCGCCGCTGTGGTCAGTAGACTGGGTCCCTGTCCTGACTCATCCTGGACAAGCCCCTTCTCCTCCGGCCTCAGTTTCCTCATCCGTGAAATGAGGAGGTTGGACTCCATACCCTCCAAGGACCCTCAAATTATATGTCACAAACCCAGGCCAGGCTCACTTGTTTTTCCATGGAGCACTCACGTGAGCCCTCGCTGTCTTAGGCACACAACCTGAGACCTTGAGAATATTCCCAGGAGGGGAAGAGTTGTAGCAGCTGGAAGAGGCGGGTGTGTACCCACCTGTCCCCAGAGTCAGGGCACCAACATGTCCTGGCAACACTAGCCTGTGTGTGCCTGAGGTGTAGATCTCAAGGAGAAAAACGGGTCCGTGGGCACCTTCCTGAGCCAGAGGAATCGGAGGTTGTTCCAAGTGACAACAGTGGGTGGGCGATCAGACCAGGGATGTCGGGAGGGGGAAGTGGGCTCACCCCATTCCGCTTCCCCGGCATCGGAAGGCAGCTCCAGGTCCTAACCTAGTCCAAGTTTCCTCAATATTTCAAACAGCCCTTTGCCTGCCCCCCAGCCCTACACTGCCCACAGCTGAGCCCGTTACATCATGTCTTCCTTCCTAGCATGACCTAAGGGCTCGAGGAAGCTCAGACGTGAGCCGGAGAGAAGAGTGTGCAGTGGGAACAGGCATCTCCCTCTGAGTTCTGAGCCCTGGGCCCCTCAGAGCAGGACACAATGTCTCGGTGGCCTCCCTAAACCAGCTGGGAATATAGTTCTGTGTTGTTGAGTACTTGCTAGATACAGGGCCCAGGCTAGCGCAGGGGATGGAGACCTGAGTGGGACACGGCCCCTGCCCTCAGGAAGCTTATATTCTGCTTTAATTGGGGAGTGGAGGGAGAGAGGAGAGAGAAAGAAGCCCAGGAGAAATGCATGTTTAAAACTACATAAGATGAGAGAATTGCCTTAAGAGCTATAAACTGCTACAAGCAGGAAGAGAAGGGTCCTCAATTCCTGAGCACCCACTGTGTCCAGGCCTTTCCCGTGTGTTTCCTCTTGTCATCCCCGGGGACCCCGTCAGTGGAAATAGGCGTAATAGTAGCTGCCATTTGTGGAGCACACACAATGTGCCAGACTTTTCCTAAGCGCTTCAATCCTTATAACCACTAACAGGTAAGTCTTATATCTCCATTTTATGACGAGAAAACAGGATCAGAAAGGTTAAATAACAAGGCTGACATCTGGCAGGATGTGTGGTAGGGTGAGGAGACGGCAACCCAGGTCTGGCGAGGAGGGGCACTGGAGGAAATTCCAGAAGGCATTCCAGGCATCGGGAGCCGCAGGAGCATGGTTAGGACCCCAGGGAAGCCCGGGGCAGTCAGAGCACAGCAGGTGAGGCTGGGGGTGGGGGTGAATGCCAGGGTGAGGGGGGTATGTCCCTTTTGGAGATGGGGAGAGAGAACAGGAGCCCCAGGGCTGGCTGCGGGCCTGCCCACTAATGCTGCTCCCTGACTTGTCCACTCATTCAATCTTTCAACAAGTATTTATTGGTGCCAACTCTGTGCCACATAGTAAAGAGAACAGCCAGAAATCCCTGCCCAGACAGACATGTTAACCACAGCGTGTCAGAAGGTGATGTGTGCAATGGGAGAAAGCAAAGGTAGAGCCAGAGAAGGGGCACGAGGAATGCGAGGTGGGGGCGGGGGAGCAGAGGGCAATATCCAAAGAGATGGTCAGGGTGGGCTTTCTGCGTGGGTGACGTTTGAGCCCAGGCTAGAGGAAGCCAACAGGAAGAAGAGACAGCCAGTGCAAAGGCCTGGAGGCGCGTGCCTGTTTGAAGAGGAGGCCAGGGTGGCTGGAGCAGAGCGAGCAGGGGCGTGGCCAGAGATGCGATCAGAGGAGTGGGGGGGGGGGGCAGTGTGAGGGCTCCTGGAGCCTAGGAGGGACTTTGGTTTGGACTCTGAGTACGATGGGGCCATTGCAGGGTGTGGGGCAGAGGGGAGACATGGTCTGACTTAGATTTCCACTGCATCGCTCTGGCTGCTGTGTGGAGAACTGACGGGAAAGGGGCAAGAGGGGAGGCCAGTGAGGGGCAGGAATCCAAGTGGAGGTGATGGTGGCTTGGGCCAGGGTGGTAGCTGTGGAGGAGGCAAGGAGTGGTTGGATTTGGGATGTGTTTTGAAGGTCATATTAATATTAGGTGAGGTGTGAGAGAAAGGCAGGGGTCAAGGGTTGGCGCCCCCATTTGAAGCCTTCCTAGCATTCCTCGGGCAGTGGCGCCTCCGCACTGGATCTATTTACCCTCGAAAGAAGGACCCCCTCCTCTGTGCCTCCACCTCCCGCTGTCCTCCAGGGAGAGGGATTCAGGTCCTGTCCTGATAGTTTGATAGTTTGATAGTAGTTGTCCAAAGAGAAATGGGCAGTCACAACCTGGTCAGCCCCAGGCAGAGAGACACGCCACCCTTTATACACTCAAAATCCCCAGCTTTCTCCTGGGAAAAAGGCTCGGAGAAGAGGAGGCTGTTTGTGACTCACACGGGTTGTCATTGTGGTAAACAAGCCAGGGAGAGGGTGGAGCTTCGGGCCCTGGTGAGTCACTCCCCTGGGGGTTGTTTCCCCTCCTTGGACTGGGGCGGTTCCCCGATGCCCAGGCAACTGCAACTGCGGGCTGGGCCTGCCCCCTGGTGGCCATGCTCCTTCTCGCTGGCGTCGCTGCCTGTTCCGGGGAGGGTGGGCCACCTGGTACGTAGGGCTGTGGGGACGAATAGGAGGTGGGCCGGGCTGGGCTGGGCAGGCGGGGCCTTGCAAGGAGCAGGCCTATTAGACTTTAGCTGACTGAGGCAGCCCTGGACGGCCTGACTTGGGGCCTGAGCCCGGCTGCCCCGCTTGGTCACGCTGCAAGGCCGTGTTGGCTGGCAGGGGCTCAAGTCGCCGTGGGCCATCATTCCTGCCCCATGAGATTCACACTCTGCACACCTCCCCGGCCCGTCAGGGCCACCCAAGTTGGCTTGCTCCCCTCTCCTGGGCACCGGGCCACTGCTCACCCTCCCGCCACGGTTAAACATTAGCGGCAGGTTATCAGTCCAGGGTCCGAGGGAGAGGGAGGGTAGAATCTCACTTTGACCAGCGCCTCCTCTGCTGGAGCCACGGGTACCCGCCCTGCCTGACAATGCCTGTGGAGGAGTTTGTGGCCGGCTGGATCTCTGGTGAGATGTTTTTCTTCCTTCTGTCACCTTATCCCCAGTGATGGGTCACTTCCTGGGGAAGCGGTGGAGGGGGGAGTGACATAGGAGAAGCTGAGGCCAAAGTCCTAGTTGCCTTGGAGGCTCAGAGCCAGCCATCCTGAGCCTCCTGGGAGTTGCCTGAGGGGAAGGAGAAGGAAGAGCAGGTGGGAGGGTGCTGGCTGTGTCCCAAGGCCACCCTGCCCCACACCTGCAGAGAGAGGGAGCCAAGGTGAGCACTCTCCCACCCACAGCACCTGCACCACGAACCCCACTCTCCAGGCCCACCCTGTGGGGCTCAGAAAGGAAGTTCACTTTTGACCTCACCTGCTGTCCTGAGTTCCCCTTTGGGCCCTGCCCTACCTGGCAATGGGCTGCACGCCCAGGCCAGCTTCTGGGTGACATTTCTCTTAGGAAAAAGAAAAGGACATTCTGAACCTGCCTCCTGGGGATATGATCTCGCCCAGAGCTCCAGGACCAGCCTGTGCCAGGGAGGGCAAGACCAGGAAGTGGGGAGATGGCCGGGGCGGGGGGGGGGGGGGCAGGCCCCCTTCCCTGGTACCAGCAAGACTCCTCCAAGGACCCCTTGCCTGCTGATGGGGGCAGAGCGTTAGGAGGGCGGGGCCTGGTCTGGATCAAGGCCCCACCCTCTACAGAAGTTGTGAGTTGAAGGAAGGATGGAGTAAAGCTGGCAGGAGCACTGGAGATTGTTCCAGAGTCCCAGGGTCCCATAAGCCAGCAAGGCACTTGGGTGTAAGCTCCCAGTGAGGACACAGCGTGTCTATGGTTTCTCCTCCCTTCTGCATGTGCATCCTCCACGCAGGGCGGGGCTCCCTCTGGTTGTCCCCTTGTCCCCATGCCTTGCTACCCCAGTGCCTGGTGTGGAGGAGGGTGCAAGGGGGCCAGCTGGAGTTTCTTTGGGGTCTGGCAGGAAGGCTGGACTCAGGGGTCTGAGACGGCCCTGCCCTCTTGCCTCCTGCCTGACTCTCTTTCCTCTCGGCACAGACTTGTTTCCTTGGCCTGGCTCGAGGGCCCTCACTCATAGCACCTTCTTGTCACCACAGGAGCTCTGGGCTTGGTCCTGGGATACCCCTTTGACACTGTAAAGGTGAGTCTAGGGGAGGCACCTGAAGAATGAAAAATGTCGCTGGAACCAAATGTCAGGGCGCCCTGAGAGCAGGAACTGGCTGACAAGGCCCCTTCCCCCCTCTCCTGCCCTGCTGGCATCCTGCTCAAAGGGGCAGAGGGAGCCCAGCCTGCCCTCCAGCTCTGTCCTCCCCACCCAGGTGCGGCTACAGACCCAGACCACGTACCGGGGCATCGTCGACTGCATGGTCAAGACTTACCGCCATGAGTCGGTGGGTGGCCTGCTTCTTTGGGGGCTTTGGGGTGGGAGGTATCAAGGGCAGTCAGTCAGCTCCAGCTTCCTTCCCTGCCACCCCCTGGCAGAGCTCTGCCCCTGGAAGAGAGAAGACTCAAGTCTGGGGCAATGGGGGGCACGGTAATAGCTCAGTGCCCCAGGGTGGAGCTGAGGCCATCCTCAGCCTCACCCTGAGTCCACCGCCCTGTGGCTGGGCTCGGGAGTGGTTTCCAGCCAGAGGAGGCCCTTGCAGGGCTGGAAAGGGCAAAGGGGACCCCTATGGCCCCCTACCCACTCTAGCCTGGTCTCTCTGCAGCTCCTGGGCTTCTTCAAGGGGATGAGCTTCCCCATCGCGAGCATCGCCGTGGTCAACTCCGTCCTTTTCGGGATCTACAGCAATACCCTGCTGGCTCTCACAGCAACCTCCCACCAGGAGCGGCGGGCCCAGCCGCCCAGCTACACACACATCTTCATAGCCGGCTGCACTGGGGGCTTCCTGCAGGTGAGAAGGCATCCTGGGGGTGCACGTGTGCACACACACATGGATGCAATGATGGTCAGTTCCCTCTTTTTCTTCCCAGCCCCCTCTGGCGACCCACAGCTGCAGGCCCCAGGCCTTCCCCAGGCAGAAGATCAGGAGCTGTGGGGAAGTGGCCAGCTCCTGGCTGGTCCCGATGACCTGGCCAGACTGAGCAGTGGCCCTCCAGGCTGTAGGCCTGGAGCAGAGGGTCATGGAGAACAGAGGAGGCAAAGGCAGAGAGCTCAGGGGCGGGGAGGGGAGGGTGACAAGAGGACCCATGGAGAAGCAGCCAACACCCCAGTCTGAGGCTGAGGGCTTGCCCACCTCCAGAGCGGTCTGCCAGCCTTAGGGCTGTGGGATGACCTCTCTCCAAGATGGCCTTTCACCCTGGAGAACTGACAGCCCCCACAGAGCTCTGAGCCCAAGCCCTCTGATCTTGATGTGGTCCTGGCACTCACCTAGCCTCTGCCCTGCTCAGCCCTTCTACCTGCAGCCTCTGGGTGGCCTCAGTCGGTGAGCCTTACCGGGCTCCAGTCCACAGACCTCACTGGGAGAGGCCCAGGGTATTAATCATTAAGTGACTCTGATCATTTGGTTTTGGTCTTTGTTCTCAGCAATTAAGTACCAGCTCCTGAGGGGTGGGGTGGAGGGAAGAGGGGCCTCCGGCTCCAGGGAGAACCCCAGCTGAATGGGGGCCTGGGCATAGAGGCAGAGGGACACGTGCCTGGCTCTGTCCCACACCCCAGCCAGGGACCTCAGGTCACCATCTGTTTGGCACGTGCTCTGATGCTCCTGACACACTTCACCGGGCAGAGAGCAAGGAGAAAGGACAGAGTCAGGAGGCTCACTCAAGTGAATTAATGATTCATAAGGCCCCAAAGGGCCTGGCTCTTCTGCCCCTTCATGTGTGGGACTCATGCCTGTGTATTTCCCAAGGCTCGAGACCTGGCACCCCACAAAAACAAGGGAGAGAACTGAGCCCCCAGGCCAAGCGGCCTGCTTCAGGCCTAGCCAGGCCCAGCTCCTCAGTCACCCTCCTCTCCAGCTCTTTAGAAAGCAGAACCGATAGCAGAACTGGGGACTGTAGAGTCACTGATGGGGCCTGGGTCCAGGGACAAACTGGAGCCCGTGGCTTCGGTTTCACAGGGTCTTGGAGCAGAAAATGAGTTACAGGGGCTGGCCCACTGGCGCAGTGGTTAAGTTTGCATGTTCCGCTTCAGTGGCCTGGGGTTTGCCGGTTCAGAGCCTGGGTGCGGACCTGCACACTGCTTGGCAAGCCATGCTGCGGCAGGCGTCCCACATATAAAGTAGAGGAAGATGGGCATGGATGTTAGCTCAGGGCTAATCTTCCTCAAAGAAAAAGAAAAAAGAAAATGAGTTATAGGGTGGAGACCGGGGGAAGAGGCGGGAAGTAATTCTTGTTAGCACAGGGCAGGAACTGACAGCCTCTGTGTGCACAAAAGTTGCTTTTGGCTGGGCTTAGGTGGACCCCATCAAATGGTGCTGTAATGTCCAATGTCCCCACTGCCCCCATGGGCACGGGATGTGGAGGGGAGGGGCCTAACCAGCTCCTGCCTGCCACCCCACCTTTGGTCGGGGCTCAGGAGAACACCCTCTGGAGAAGCCCGCTCGGCACCACCCACAGGCTCCGGAGGGTGACAGGAGAGTCCCATCTCACGGGGAGGGTCCCCAGCCCACTGCCCTGCCTGCGGGAAGGAAGTAGGCAAACTTAGCCTGCCACCCTCTAAAGATTACCGCTAGGGCCAACCGCCAGCATCCTCTGCCATCAGCCTTCTCCAGGGCTGGGGAGCTGAGCTCACATACCTTCCGTGGAAGCAAGACAGGAAGGGAGGAAGGAAGGAAGAAAAAAGTACATGAGCCCCAAATGATATGTTAACCTCAGCTTGGGCCTCAGTTCTCACCTGAACAGTAACAGCTCGCCTTGACCTGGTTGCATCCCTGGCCCACACCTCCCCCTCCCCCAACCTCCCCCCACAGCCCCAGCTCCAGACCTGTGGCCCCCCTCTGCCTCAGCCAGGCGATAAGAGTTCTAGGACCTGCAGGTGCCACCCTGTCCCCCACCTTCTGTTGGGAGTGTAGTGGTTGGGAGTTTGTGAGAGGCAGGAAAGGCTGGCCTGTGTTCCCCCCCAGGGGCCCTAAGAGGAAGACCCCATGAAGCTGAGTCCCCAACACTAACGAGGTGGCCTCCTTGACCCTGGGGAGAGGTTAGTCCTTTGCTGTTTCGTGGGCACAGACTGAACCCTTTCTCCAGACCCAGTCCCTGCAGATGCTCATCTCTGCTTTCGGGCGGCTAGCAACCTACCCCCACCCCTGGAAAAACAATCCTGGCTTGTCCCCAAGTGCCATGTGCATGCCAGGCAAGTTGGGTGCTGTTGCCCGAGGAGAGGGGCGGTGCTGCTCGCTGTCAGGGTCTTGACGCTAAAGGCGGTGGCCCTGGACCATCCCCGGCTGCTCTTGCAAGAGCTGAGAGCTGGCAGCAGAGCCGGCAACGTCCTCCAGGAAGATGCTGCCCCTCTGCCCACCGCTTGTCTCTTGTTAAGATGAGCTGACTGTTCCTGCCCACGGCCCCACCTGGGGCCTTCACGCTTCCTTCCCTACAGGCCTACTTCTTGGCCCCTTTCGACCTCATCAAAGTCCGGCTGCAAAACCAGACAGAGCCGAGGGCGAAGCCAGGGAGCCCCCCACCGCGGTACCGGGGGCCTGTGCACTGTGCCGCCTCCATCTTCCAGGAAGAAGGGCCCCGGGGGCTGTTCCGAGGGGCCTGGGCCCTGACGCTGAGGGACACCCCCACCATGGGGATCTATTTTATCACCTACGAATGTCTCTGTCACCAATCCACGCCAGAGGGCCAGAATCCCAGTAAGTGAAGTGGCATGAGAGGGTGCGGGACAGAGAGGGGGAAGGCAGGGGAGCTGGCCGTGCAGTGGAGGATGGGGGGGGAGGCTAGTGATGGGGGCGGATGCTTTGTGCCTTAGCCTGACTCCCACCCTGGGCTTCCTCTACTCCAGGCTCAGCCACAGTGCTGGTGGCAGGGGGCTTTGCCGGCATCACCTCCTGGGTCACGGCCACCCCCTTAGACGTGATCAAGTCCCGGATGCAGATGGCTGGGCTAAACCAGAGGGCTCACCGAGGGGTGCTGGACTGCATAGTAAGCAGCGCCCGGCAGGAAGGACTGGGGGTCTTCTTCCGGGGGCTCACCATCAACAGTGCCCGCGCCTTCCCTGTCAACGCCGTCACCTTCCTCAGCTACGAATACCTCCTCCACTTGTGGCAATGAGCTTGGCCAGGCAAAGCTGGCAGCTCCCCAGCGAGACCACCGCCCAACTGCCTGGACCGGAGGCCAAGTTGAAAGCACCAGCTGTGATTCCGATATGGATGCAGGAAGCTCAGCCCTTCCTCATCAGGGCATCTCCCAGCCTCGCGTAGGCAGAGGGGGCTGGGGAGACGGCAGCCGGGCCAGGACTCCCCCGTCTGGACGCAGCCCAGAATCCAAGGCTGGCAGCCCTTGCCTTGGTTCCTTTCCTTCCCGAGTCTGTGAAGTGAACTCACTAGCCAGCAGTGCTGGTGACACTCCGGCCCCATCCGGTGACGTCACTCCTTGAAGAGCTCTCAGAGGCCCCGCTGGGCAGCCTCAGCGCCAGCCAGGCCCTGGATTCCTGTGATGCCATCCTGTCCTGGTGGGCCCCCCACCCCACCTCATTCCACACCTCTCCCTGCACCGCTGGAGAGCAGCCTTTACGACTCTGCCTGTCCTTCAGTGGCTCCCGTCACCTTCAGGAAAAAGCCGGAACTCTCCCAGCTCCTGGGCCCTCCCTGCCCACTAGCTTTCCTCCCCCTTGGTGGCCCTGGCAGCCCAGCCCCGCTCGTGGAGAACAAGCTGTGTTCTCCCGTCACCCTCAGCCTGGAAGGCTTGTTCCCTCCTGGCCAACAGTGGCCGCAGGGTGACTCCATCGTCCCTCTGGCTGAGCCCCTGAGGCCGACCACTGTCTCCTGGAGTCCTTCCTCAGCTCGCGTCCTCATTGCCTCAGACTGAGTGTGGGGTTTGCAGACCCCGCCGCCCACATGCCTTGCTCGTAGCCCTCGCCTGCGCTTATCAAGGTTGTTGACTTCTTGCTGTCCTCGCTGGACCCGGAGCTCCTGGAAGTCTGGGGTCTTCTGATCATTTCCCAGGAAGGAGCCTGATGCATAAGCTGCCGGTAAATGGTTGTTGAATGAAGTGCCGATTCCACTCCGCACCCCTCTCCTCCCACTGCAGCCCCCCACCTGCTTCCTTGGTCCTGCTCCCCCATCTCTGAGAGGTTGCCCTGCCCGGGGCCCCTCTCGGGGTTGTCTCCAGTGGAGGTCCAGGAGTCAAGGGTGTCTACTTGGCCCACTCCCATCCGATGGGACTTGTTTTCTTTACCCATCTCGACTGCTAAGTGGGAATTAAAAACTGACTAAGAGGGTTCATTTAACTGACAATAAAGTGAGCAGAATTTGTACCCGCTAATGTCCTGATCTGGTCTGAGATCAGAATGCCTGGACTTCCTGCCATTTACTGGGGGCTCCCTCTGAAACCAGCACAATGCTGTTATCACAGAGGAGGTGGCGTTGGCTCAGAGACGGTGTGTAATTCGTCCCAGGGCACATGGCTGGTATGTCGCACGAGTTGCCTGGACGCATCTGAGCCTCCGCTCCAGAGCCCAATTACTCTGCTATGCTGCTCTCCCTGGCTTGTGACAGTCTCCCACGGGTCACCTAAGTTCAAATTGCCCCTGAGCCAAGCGTGACAGCGTCAGCCCCTCCGTGTGCATCGTCAGCATGGCCGCTGGGCCAGCCCGTGTTCCCCATTCTCCCGTGCAGCTCGGCGGGGCCTGTGCACGGGCTCTTGCTGGAGAAATGTGAGCAGAAGGGATGCGGGCAGATTGCCCATCGCTTGCTTGAAAGGAGATGCCTCACTTGTTGGCTGGAAATGGTGACCTGGAAGGCACTGCTGTGGATGCAGGAGACGCTCTGCTGGCCAGGAACCCGGGTGACATTGGGGGCACAGCCCACCTGACCCCCTTGGCTGCTGCGTCCTGACATCTCTTTGTTGCAACAGTTTTGCCTTCACCCTAACTTAACGTCGTTGGTAAGGGAATGCGAGTTTCGAGGTCAGGAGTGATCCCGGTGTGGTCCGTGGGTCAGCGGCCTCGGGCCCTCCTGGAGCTGGTTAGAAATGCAGACTCCCAGGCCCCACCCGGAATGGAATCAGAGTCTCTGAGGCTGGGGCCTAGGAATCCGTGTTGTAAAAGGTCTCCTGTGACGTTTACACACGCTAGTTAAGAAATGGCGCTCTGGCTGCTCCTAATAGCAGAAACGTGCTGCCCTTTCAAGCTGAGAAAGTTGTGAGTCTGGTGGAAGTGACTTGAACTCCTAGTTCTAGCAGCCTCCACTTTGGCACAGATTCACGAAGCTTACATTCCTGCTGTGGAAAAACAGGGTCTGTCTGAGCAAGTCACTGCCCTTTCTGTGCCTCAGTTTCCTCTGAGATCTCTTCCAACTGGTCAGTCCGTGAGTTCCAGTGACCGTCCAGCACCACTGCAGTGCCAGAGATTTTAGGCTGGAACCAGCGGTGATGGTACAGCAGCCGTTGGAACACCTCTGGGGGCAGTCAGTGGTTGGAAGGGAGCAAACAGTATGCACATGAAAGGGGAGCTGGCTCTTAGAAATGGACCAAGAAAAGAGCAGGAGGTCAGAGTGGTCCTCTGGAGTTTGCCATTTCTCACCACAGTACCAGTTAGCAAGAGAATCAAATTTAAAATCCTTTTTTGGTTTTGTTTTCATTAAGTCCTTTTTGGGGTAGTAACTACGCCTGTAAGGCTGCCTTTGCACAGTCTGGGCGTGGGCTTCCGGTGTCCCTCTGTGGTTCTCTCCAGAGGCATCTCCAGAGGGGGCTAGAGCTTTTCCCTCTACGCTCATTAGAACCAGAGAGTGTGGCAGGCCGCACGCCGGGCCGTGCAGTTCTGGGCCCGAGCTCCTCCTCTAGCCCCGGGCAGGGCTGCTCGCTGGACTGGGAGAACAGGCTGGGGCGAGGTTAGGGTGAAGCTGGTGTGATTAGTGAGAAAACACCCCGCTCTTCTTGGAAAGGAGGCTGGAAAGACAAACAAAGATAAGGCAGGAGATGACTGACAATATTTTTAAAAGCAGGATGTTTTCACATCAGCAAGGGACACACGTTAAAGGAATTAACAGATGCTATTAGAGGTCAGCATGATTTTCTTTTGTTTTTAAGGATTGGCACCTGAGCTAACATCTGTTGCCATTCTTTTTATGTTTAAATTCTTCTCCCCAAAGCCCCCCAGCACACAGCTGTATATTCCCAGTTGTGGGTCCCTCCAGCTGTGGCATGCGGGACGCCACCTCAGCGTGGTCTGATGAGCAGTGCCATGTCCGCACCCAGGACTCGAACCGACGAAACACTGGGCCGCCTGCAGTGGAGCGCGCGAACTTAACCACTCGGCCACGGGGCCAGCCCCAGGTCAGCATGATTTTTGAGAACTTGAATCCCTAAGAACTAGGAAATAGTAAATGAACCTGCTTCGAGGTTAAAAATGGGGGTGGAGTCTGAGGGTCGCACGTAAAGGGCTCATAACTTGGGAAAACTGTGAAATAATGTCTCATTGGATTCATGCTGCCAAACGTCATGGTTATTTTTATATCAGTTGTCGCAGGAAGAGAAATTACAGGAGACTAACTTATGTGTGTAGTGACACTAAGGCTACATGTGCCAGGAAAGGGGGCAATGACACAACCTTGGGATGATCCTGGGTCAAACCACTTTTGCCAGACTTGCTAAACAGCTGCACCAAGAGGAGTGACAAGAGTCTCCATCCTGACCACCGTCTGAGCTCCAGGCCCACGCTGCCAACCATCTCTGGTCACGGATCCTTGAGCATCCCAAGGCACCTGGGGTTTCCCCTCCTCCTGCTCCCGCTGCACTGCTCTGCAGCCCAGGTCCACCCCCAGGCCAGACAGCTCAGAGAAGCTCTCCTTCCGCCCTCCTTCCACAGCGCAGGAGTTCCCAACTCTTCTTCGCCCTGTTTCTAAAATATTCTAAGAGTCACTCCCTTTTTTCCACTCCTAATCCTACAGCCCTGATCCTGTCCCAAATTTGGACAAATAACTCCACTTTTTCAAATGCAATTCTGATCAAGTTACCCTACTCCTCTTGTCCCCCTCGATGGCTTCCCATTACTCTGAGGGATCAAAGCAAGCTCCTTCCACAGCCTCCAAGGCGCTTGGATGTCCACCTTCTCTTGGTTCCTTAAAAAGACCAGGTTCTCTCCCACCACAGGACATTTGCACGTGCTGTTCTCACTGCCTATGTAGCTCCCGCTCACCCTTCAGCTCTCAGTTCAGCATCTCTTTCTTAGTGAAACTTTCCTTAGCTCCTCTGTCTAGGTCAGGTTCCTTTCACTTATGCTAATGGTTCAGAATCACCTGGAGGGCTTGCTAAAATGGAGATTGCTGGGTCCCACCCCGGAGTTTCTGATTCAGGAGGTTTGGGGAGGGTCCAAGAATTTGCATCCCACTGAATTCCCAGATGCTGCTGGGGCTACAGGTATGGGCCACAGTTTGAGACCGCTGGCTTGTGCTTTCATGTCATTCCCCTGCTCCAGTCTCTAATTATGTACTTTCATTTGTCTAGCTCTTGATTATAATTGTCTCTCCTCTGAACTATGAGCTCCCAGAAGCAACTGTTTTTGCTCATCATCAAAACTCTAGCTGGCATGCAGAGGTGCTCAATAAATCATGTTGAACCAATGACTAAATGAAGGAAAGAGACCTGGTCTTCCCGACTTCCCCACTGGCAGGCTGGCGCTCGGGATTTTCCCCAGAGCCCTCCTACTATATAGCACCTAGACTCCAGACCCATTGTAATAAGCATGATGTTGAAACCATTGCTAACTTTGCAAGAAATGAGGGAACTTCCCAAAGACCCCTTCGAAACAAGGAAGTGAGTGCAAGCCACTTGTCGGAAAGAGTCCGCCCTTGGGGCAAACGCTGACGCTGCCCCCTTGGAGATCCGCCTGGAACAGAACCACAGGGAACAGAAGACTAGACCTTAGACCGCAGGGAGCCGAACCAAGACTCATAACTTAAGTCAAAATGCTGGAAGGGGCTGCACCTTTAGTGAAAAGGTAAACTGGAAACGTCCACCACTGGTAAAGGGACGCACAAAGAAACCTGCCTCTCCCTGTAGTGGAAAAAAATGAAGAATGAGATGGGCTCCCCCGTGAACCACGAACCCTGGGCCTAGTCGCCACGCTACCTTCAGTCTGGGACACCTTCGGCCCAGAAGTTAATTTATCATGGTAGGCGCGCCCCCTTGTGTCTGGTAGGAGTAACTACAAGTTTTTCTACACGATCTTCAGGTTCTCCAGAGATTAACTGCAACCAATGAAAAAATTCCTACATCAAAAAATTACCAGACCCACAAGGTAAAAAGCCACCCTGAATTCAAGCATCAGTAGAAACAAAAGCAACAGATTTAGTCCGCCAAAGTTTTAAGATATTAGATTGATCGATATAAAAATGTGAAATAACCATACATGAAATATTTAAATACTATATAAAAGAATTAAAAGAGAAGAAACCAGAAAGTATAAAAATGATTATGTATATTTGAAAAGACAAAAGAACTGTCATAGCTGGAGAGAACTGGAAGGTCGTCGGGAAGAAAGGACTCAGAGTGCAATGCAGAGAGACGAGAAGATGAGAAGCGATCTTCCTGCATCCAGTCCACCACCTTCTTGAACGCTGCTGCTGCTGAATATAATAATAATAACAGCAATAATATCCAACACATGCATAGTGTTTAAAACAGTGCCTGGCAAGGAGTAAGCATTCCATAAATATTCACTTGGTCAATCCTCACGGCTGAGCTGTGTTACAGGTCCCGTCTATTTCCCCCTCTGGTTTGTGTGCATCCCCGGCACAGGGACTGTCTGAGTCATCTTTGCTGCCCTGGAGCCTTGCATGCCTTCTGACCACAGAGGGTGTTCCTTACAAGCTTGTAAATAAACTGAAAGAATGCACATCATTTCTTTGGGTCCTTCCCACTTTGAATTGGCGATATGTGCACCTTTGGACGGGACCACCTGCCCTTGGTAAACAGTTCCATCCGTGGGAAGAGCAGACGTCCCCTCCACTTCCTCTCACCCCTTCATACCTATGCCCTTCCCACGAGGAAGTCCCACCAGTTGCTCTGCACACCGCAACTAGAATTAGATTTTTTTTAAACATAAAACACACCAATTTGTCTAAATCTCCCCCTCCAAAAAAAAATCCCTTCTGTCTCACTTGGACAGAAATGGAAGTGCCCCGCCCACCCCCTGCCCTCCTCCTCTGGGTGGCTTTCTCTCTCTCCCTCTCTCTCTCTCTGTCTCTCTCTCTGTCTCTCTTTCTCGCTTTCAGCCACAGGATGGCTCTCTGATCTTAAACCTGTCAAGCTGTTTCTACCCTTAGATGTTTGTACCTACTGTTCCCTTTGCAGAGAATGCTCTTCCTTCGGAAGAAGGGGTGTTTCCTCCTGATCCCAAAGGCTATTCCCTGACTCCCCTCCCCGAGTTGCTCTCTCTGACATTATTTTATTTTCATCTTGGCCCTTATCACTATCCGGAATGATGGTGATTGCTTGTTTACCTGTCTCCTCTTATGTCCCTCTACTAGAAAGTGAGGGCTTTGAGAGAAAGGGTCCTCTCTGTCTTGTTCTGCACCAGCTCCGGGGGCCCAGCCCAGGGTCTGCTCCACAAGAAAGAAGTCAGGAAACATGGCCTGAATGAGCCGTAGCAGTCACCTACAACGAGGCAAGGTGTGATAATGTGAGAACACTGCGAGAAAGGAGGAGATTACTTGTGGCTTTGAAACAAAAGCTCTGGGAAGATGTCCGCAATGAGTTGCTGCTGTGACAGGACTGGGACACCCGAGAGCAGAGGGCTGGCCGGTCCCCTCTTCGTTGTTTTCATCAGGCCTTTAGGGATTGCGTAATGTTGGTTTCAACATTTAAAAAGAGATACGTCAGAACTGGAATGATTTCAGACAAAGGACACTTTAAATGAATACAGGTAGGAAAAACAGAAGCTGTGAGGAAAGGCTAAATGATTTGGAATCTTTGCCTAGAAATGGAAGACCAGCAGGCGGCTTCAGAACTCCTTAAAAGTCAGCCGTCCTTGGGGAGCTGCCAGGTGTGGAGGTGGTCAACCGGGACAATGAGCCAAACCGGAACAACAGTCAGCCTTTATTCACAGTGAGAGTGCAAGCAAGAGGCAGGGGGGCGCCGGCTCCCAGGGTTCCGTTTTCCCCAAAGAAGCAGCACTGGGGGAGGGCAGATGACATGCGGTGCAGATCAGGGAATGTCCTTCTGTCAGGAACCCCAAATCAAAGTCCCCTGCCTCTTTGGGGACTGTGGACGGGGGAAGGGAGAGAGAGAAGGGCTAGGAGTGAAAGGCACTTCGTCCAAGTGGAGAAAGTGTCTCCTCCAACGCTCCTAATAAGGACATCTCAGCAGAGGCACCTGGGAAGTGCCTGAGGCCCAGTAAGGAGGTGTCACGGCTGGGAATGCAGATGTGCGCAGCTGCCCGCATCCTCGGCTGCAGTGCCCTCCAGAAGTGCTGGCTTCTGAGGGGCTATTGCCTTTCAGGCCACAATAGGCTTTTGGCCCCGAGCCGGATTCCCTATGATCCAGAGTCTGTCTGCATGCAAAGTCCAGACGCTTCCCAGGTAAGACCATCCTCTTCACACCCTACTTCCCCGATCTGGCTTGGGCTTCACCATCTCTCACCTGGACCCATCGGAGTCTCTCTGAACCTAGGGCTCAAAGCTCTGACCCACCTTCCACTTCTCAGCTATTCTAGAACTCCACCCATGACCTGTCCCCGCCTTGACTGAAACTCTTTGGGGTGCCCCACCACTGAGCTCGGTAGGCTAAAGACCCCTCCTGTCCCCCAGCCTCCCGCTGTGCGCTGGCGGGCCTACCTGCCTCTGCCAGCTGCACTGGGTTCCTTCACTCCCAGTCGGCCTGCGCCTGCCGCCCCTTGGCCTGAACTGTCCTTCCCATTCCTGTCTGTCCTTCCAGCGGCAGCTCGAGGCTCACCTCCTCCAGGAGTCTCCCCAGGTTCTAGGGGGCCACAGGACCTTGCATATGCCTCTGTGACAGCCCTTAATCACGCTCCACAGTCATTGTCCGCAAGGTCCTGCCCAGCAGGGACACAATTGTCACAGCCTTGTCACACAGGAGGCCTTGCTGAAGAGATGTTGTGAAATGATCAAATGAATAAACAACTATTCCAAGTTCTGGCTCCTTTCTGTTGTCCTAGAATGTCCCTAGCCGGCCTCGTCCTGCCTGATGCACCCCCCCCCCCCCATCTGAGAGGGAAATTATCAGAGCAGCAGAATGTCTGGGGCAATCCTGGGGATCTGTCTGTTCGCTGATGAAGAGGCCCTATCCCCGGGAGTCCGGCCTGCTGGAATTCTAGACGAAGATCCCTACTGGTCAGCAGCAGACAGCTGCGCCGCAGCGACCCTCAGCAAGCCATTTAAAGAATCTGAGTTGAAAGTTTTCACCTTTCTCCTATGAAAATAACGCCTCTTTTTTGATTAAAAACTTTATTTCCAAAAGCAGATCTGTTTTTGACAGAGTTCACGGGATCAGCCTGTCTGGAAAGCCCAAATTCCACCTTCCCACGTCCCAGCCCCCCTGGAGGTTCAGAAACTCCGCAGCTTCGCTCCCCCGACGCCCCGTCTTGGACCCCTCTCCTCAGGGCTGGGACAACTTCCGCTCAGAGCTTAGACTCGGTCTCCCAACTTGTCTCTCTTCTCCACCTTTCACAAGAGCTCCATTTCCACGGGAAAAAGACCAGCCTACAATCTGCTTTCTGCGAGAGGGCGTTTCCATGGGAAACAGGAGAGGGGGCTCCGGAGAGCAGCGGGGGGCCCTTCACAGGCAGCAGAGCCGTTCCACCTCCTCCTCGCAGGCGTAGAATTTTTCAAACAGCTCAGGGGAGGTGCCATGACACTCCAACCACCTCCTCAACGTGCCCAGGGCCCGGAGGGCGTCAGCTTTGGTGGGCAAGGGCGCAAAGGCATCCTCTCTGACCCCCTCCTCGTCTTCAGGGCCCATCTCCTCTTTGCACACTCCAGACACGGGCTCCTCACCCTCCAGGTCCACGAAGCGGGAAAATTCCTCAAGGCTCAGCCCACTGGGGACTGGTGGCATCTCAGAGGCTTTGTCCGGGGACAGAGGCGTTTTGCCTGGGGCCAGCCCTTCCTGAATGAAGCTGCTTACAATGAGCCGAGGGGGCACCTTGGCCCAGGCGACCGCTGCCATGTGCACAGCGTCCAGCACTGTGATCCCTGCCCCAGCCTCGGCCAGCGAAGTGCCAGCCCTCTCGCTCTGCACGGCAGCCAGCTTGCCCAACAGACGGTGCCGGTAATGGGCCTTGAAGGCCCGGACCGCAGAGGTGGGCAGGGAAGGCGTGGTGCTGGCAGCTGACAGAGGCAGGAGCCTTATGTGGTGGAGCCTGGGCGGGCCCGCCAACCCCTCCACCACTCGGGCTGCCAGCAGCAAGGCAACCTGCCGGCCCTGCCGCCCCATGTCCCGGTCGAACTGCACCAACCACTCTGACCAGGGGATGCCCAGGTCGGGGTGGTAGGAGGCAGGCAGAGCCTCGCTGCTGACCCCAAAGAAGCAGCTCGGCGCGGCCCGGAGCCCACTGACCAACACCCGCCGCTTCTCTGTGCCCCTACTGTTGGCACACAGCAGCACCTGGACGTGGCCACAGGCCCCCACGGTGCCAGGCACGGCGCGATACAGCAAGGGCACTTCAGCGCAGCCAAAAACGTCCTCTGGGGAGAAGTCCTTGAGGGAAAGAGGTGGCTGGGCCTGGGATGTGGGGACCGGAGGAGGCGGCTCCGGGGGGAACCGAGGCGCGAGTACATGGCGGGCCCCAAAGCCTACGTTGTTTCGGCGTTTCCAGCGGACCAGCCAGCCGATGCTGGGCACGAAATCCTGGCCCATGATGTCGGCCAGCTCCTTGGCTTTGTGGAGCAGCATGGGCCCCGTCACGTCCCAGGCCTTGGCCCGGGCAATGTGGTACCAGCAGAGCAGAGCCTCATCGATGCCGCTGTACTTGGACTCGCGCTTGCGCTTGCGCTCCCGGTTGGCCGTGCCGCTGCACCAGTCGGCCAGCAGCTTCTCCTTATTCTTGCAGATGCGTGAGATCTGGGGCTGAGAGACCTGGAAGCGCCGGGCCACCTCCGACTGGGACATCTTGGACTCGTCCAGGAGCTCCAGCACCTGGATCTTCTCAGCCAGGGATAGGGCGTGAAGCTTCTTCTTGCTGCTAAGCTCCATGGCGTCTCCACAGGCACCTGTGGGGGAGCGAGGGCGGTATAGACAGCTGAGGCCAGGCGGGATGGGAGAGGAGCACAGTAAGAAGAGAATCCATGAGGATAGGGAGATAGGCTGTGTGTGGGAGAGAGCAGGGAAGACTGGACCAGCTGGGAGAGGGGGACAGGGTCACCCTGGGGAGGGGGTGAGCGGGCTGGGCTCAAAGAGCAGGGGAAATGGCTAGGCTGAGGGAGCAGCGGGCTGGGCACTGATCCCCAGGAATGCCAGAGCAGAGCTGGGGAGGGGGAGCTCACTGGTCAAAAGGAGATGGGAGACTGGGCTGGGGTTTGCATAATTGGGGGAGAAGGATGAATGGAGCCGAGGGGACAGCTGCAGAGACAACAAAGGAGTAGGATGGGGAGGACGTGGGGCTGGGACTGAGTGGGGCAGGTGTGGGGGATAGTCCCAGGGAGAGGGAGGGGATGATGGCCTGGGCTGGATTGAGATGAAGATGTTGGGGGATGGGGTGGAGTGGATGAACAGAACTGAGGTGACAGGTGTACAGACGACAAAGAGGGACGGATGGGGGCTGAAGGAGCGAGTGTAATTTGGTGCTGGGTCCTAAGGAGGTAAGGCTGGGCTGGGGTCGGCCTGGAGGCGGAGTGGGGGCACAGGGCCCAGGGGGCAGGTGCACAGCGACAAAGGGCAAGAGGGGTGAGGAGGCTGCGGGCAGCGAGAGGGGCGGGGTGTCCCCGGTGGGGAGGCTGCTGGCCTGGGAGGGGAACCAGGGCGCGGGCAGCAGTGCTCGGGACGCAGGCAGGCCGGGAGGCGGGCTCCGCAACCGGCCGGCCTCTCCCCACCTCGAAGCGGGGTCCGTTGCGGGGCAGACCCAGGCGCCCGCCCGCCCGACCTCCCGGCCTCCCGCTCGGCACCCACCTCAGGCGCTCGTCCCGCGGCTCCCGCCCCTGTCCCGGCCCGGCTCCCGAGCCCCTGTCCGGGCGGCGACAGGACAGCAGGAGAGGGACGGGCCCCACGACCCGGAGGGCGGAGCGGCCGGGGGACTGCGCGGGCGGCGGGCGGCGGGCGGGCGCGCGCACAACGGGGCCCCGTGCGCGCCGCCCGCGCCGGGCTCTCTCCCGGCTGGGAAGCCCGCGGGGCGGCCGCTCGGCTCCCACCCGCCGCAGCCCCGCCCCCCCACCGGATTGGCTCTCAGCGGCGTCCCGCCCCGCCCTCCGCTAGGTCTCATTGGCCGTCGCGGAAGTGGCGGTTCGCCGGGCCCTCGGGGGGCGGAGCTCCCAGCGCGAGGGAGCGACGAGGCGGAGCCAGGACCCGGCGGGAGTCCCGGAAGCTCTGCGGGCGGCTGGGCGCTGGCCCTCGGGGCCTGACAGCCTCGGGGCAGCGTGGCGGCCGGAGAGCAGACTTGGCGTCGCAAGGCCTTCCCGGCCGTGACCCTAAGGCAGCCTCAGCGTCCTCGTCTACCGAGAGGGCTGATGCCCCTCACGAGCGGTTTTGAGAAAATGGATGCAAGCGTCACGCTACACAAAAGCCGTCACCATGGACAGCGCTGGCCTCACGTCCATCGGCCCGCTACAAACGGCGTGCCTGGGGCCGGGTCCGATTTAGGGCGAGTAAGGACAAACGTTTATTAGTTTTGGTACCTGTTGGCAAGATTCAGGTTCCTAAACTCAAGATGTGAGATCATGCCCTCCCGTGGCGACCTTCCGTCTGGCCTGTGCCTGTTCTTTGCAGTTAAACGTAGACATCTTAACCTGCGCCCAGCGCTCCGCACCCCCAATTTCACCTGCTTTCCAGCCTCGCTGCCCTCCTCCTCTCACAGATCTGACTGGAAGGCTGGAGCCATAGACCAGAGTCCCCATCTCTCTGCCTTCCTCATGGTTTCTCTCCCCACCCCAATCCTGCCGGCTGATCCTTCTTCCATCCTTCTATGTCCCATTCTAAAACCCACCTCCCGCAAACTCTTCCCAAATTTCCTCTCACTTGCACCTGCTAAAGAGTTCTCACTTTTTACACGTCTTTTCTGACCTCAGACTACTCAATCACCCAAGGATCATGGCTTCACTCTGCTCCTGGCCTTCTGCCGTGTAAAAGCATGAGGACAGGGGCTGTGCTGTTCCTACCACCACCCCCAGCCCAGAGCAGCCTGCTTATTTACTGAAGGCCATGGCCCAGGCCTCAGCCTTCCTGTAATAGTGGCTTTCAGACTGTTCCAGAAAATCCTAAGGATACTTCGGGGGGCTGATTGACTCACATCTTTAAAAAAAATAGTTCAAGGACTTCAAAACACACTTAGGTGAGATACTTAAGATCTACTATGGAAGCTGTCAAAATGTTGGCTGCTCGGGGCCGGCCCCGTGGCTGAGTGGTTAAAGTTCTCGCCCTCTGCTTTGGCGGCCCAGGGTTTTGCCAGTTCGGATCCTGGGCGCAGACATGGCACCGCTCATCAGGCCACGCTGAGGCAGCGTCCCACATGCCACCACTAGAAGGACCCAAAACTAAAAATACGCAACTATGTACCAGGGGGCTTTGGGAGAAAAAAGGGGAAAAAAAAATGTTGGCTGCTGGTAAGGGAAATTCAAACTCATTTTTGTGCACATAAAACGTGCCCTGAGGATGGCCGCGGTGCAGGCCCAGGAGCGCTGCTCCCACACACGCTGCACTCAGACCAACAAATGCCAGGCAAGCAAGGCCAAGGAGCCTCTGCCTGTGCTCATTCCTCGTGCAAAAAGCTTTCACGTCTCCCATCATGACACCATTAGTTTTCTTGTGTCACTAATTGTGTTTTAAATTTATATAATAATCAAGCTTCTGGACCCATTTTATGTATCTGAAATTGCAAGTTCAACTGTTATAAACCTGCCACTATTTGCATCTATGTATCCAAGTCTAGCAGAATTTCTTCCAAACCAAAACACAGAAGTAAACAGGATGCTAAAGCTGACTTTTCACCCAAATTTTGTATTATCAAAACAACTTGATGGGGCCGGCCCAGTGGCGCAGTGGTTAAGTGCGCACATTCCGCTTCTCGGCAGCCCAGGGTTCGCTGGTTCGGATCCCAGGTGAAGACATGGCACCGCTTGGCAAGCCATGCTGTGGTAGGCGTCCCACATATAAAGTAGAGGAAGTAGCTCAGGGCCAGTCTTCCTCAGCAAAAAGAGGAGGATTGGCAATAGTTAGCTCAGGGCTAATCTTCCTCAAAAAAACAAAAACAAAAAACTTCCTTCTTTATAATAAGGAATTGTTATAACTAGAATTTACGTACGATATTACAAGTAACAAAATACCCAATTTTACATATTGGGGTTCAGCAAAAAATTTAATTTGGGGGAAAAGCTGTATTCCAAAACGTTTAAAAACCACTGTCCTATGACAAGTTTTAGGATGAAGTGGCCTTCTGAACCAGGTAATGGAGTCAGGAGATAAACCATCCAGCAGAGGGCTCTGTGTAAAAACGTTTATTTGTACTAACGTTTAGAATACAGGAACTAAAGAAAGAAAAAAAAGACACCTCAACTCCAAAGCGACAGTGAATTAGGGCCTGCCCACGGTCAAGGGGAAGGCCACTCCAGGGTGTCCTGGAATGGACTGTCCCCCCCACTACTTAATGTCAGTGTCACCAGGCAGAAAACTGAGGAATCAGGGTGTGAAGACCTTACCAGCTGCTAGCGAGCGTGCAAGAGAAGAAAGGGACGTCCACGTGGCTTCCCCGTGATCCAGGAGCCAGGAGACACAGAGCAGGAGGCAGAGGCTCCCGATTCAGTTAAGGGCAGGAGCTGAACGCCCAGGTCCAGGAAGAACAAAAAGGGGGTTTCGGAGGTAGGCTTTTTCGTCGAGTTAAAAAACAGGCACATTATCCAACGTCTCCCTGTGGCCCCCAGGCTGCTGGCCTGGCCCCCTGATGCTTCCCCTCTCCCCACAAAACCAAAGGGAATAAGAAGGGGAGGCGGAAGATAGGAAACGCCAAGGGTGGGGAATGCTTCAGTCACTGGAAACCGTCTGTGAGAGGGAGCCAGGCGAGCATGAGGAAGAATCAGGGTGAAGCTGCTGCTCCCCCTTGGGTGGGGCGGAGCAGGACAGGGCAGAACTAGGAGGTGACCAGGAGCATCCTGGCTCGGGCAAAGGATCCGGGTGGCAGGCACAGAGGGCCACAGAGCCACTCTGGGGGAAGGAGGCGGCAAAGCTAAGCAGCACGAAGGGCATGGAAAGCTCCCTGCAGCGCCACCGCAGCTTGCTCAGTTGCTCACTCCCAGCTGCTCCTGGCAAAATGGCCCGGCCCGGCTCACCTCCGGGGGAAGGGAAACCCTGGGAGCAGAGCAGAGGCAGAGCTGAGAGGAGCGAGCTGCTCTCCCACTCTTTCTCGGAGGACGGTTTGAACCCTGTGATCACCAGGGCCAGGGCCCAAGGCAGGCAGAGTGAATGCACTTCCTGGAGAGCAGTGAGAAGCTGGGCCCACAGGTACGCCTTGGGGCAGTGTGCTGCTCCCTTCTCCCTGAGGGCCTGGGGCCAGAGGCGGTCAGAGCTGCCACCTCAGCTTGCTGTTGCCAAAGGCAGGTTGGCACAACCACCCCAAGGTTCTCTGGACTTGTGAAAGAGAGGAAGAGGAAGGGCAAGGTGGGTATGAAAAACAAGAGAGGAGGAGAGAAACAGCTCTGGGTGTATGGGGGTGCAGGGGCGTGGCCACATCAAGAGGAGTTCTGGTTCTGGTAGATGGAAGCTTTCTCCTTCAACAGGTCCAGACACAAGTGACAGCTCCAACTTCCTGCAGAGAAGCAGAGAGGGGTTAGGGTGGGTCCCCACAATCTTGACCTGCTGTCCTTCCATCCCCACACGTCACCTCCAGGAGCAGGCAGGATGGGAGATGTTCTGCAGTAGCAAATTTCACGGTTATCCTGAGCTCTAGGTCTTCAAATATTATGAAAAATAATTCCCAATGGAGATGAAAGAAATAATCACCTGGAGGACTACTTCAGAATATAGACTCCTAGGCCCTTTCTTAAATCAGAATCTCTAGGAGGGCCTGGCAGATATGGTTTTTCAAACCATCCCAGCTTTAGACTTGTGATTACAGAAGAACCAAGACCTCAAAGGTTAGAACAAACACCATGAATAGGGGCCAGCCCCCTGGCCGAGTAGTTAAAGTTCCACACGCTCCACTTTGGCGACCCAGGTGCGCGGGTCCAGATCCTGGGTATGGACCTACTCCACTCATCAGCCATGCTGTGGAGGCATCCCATGCATCCCACACACAAAAAGAGGAAGATTGGTACAGATGTTAGCTCAGGGCGAATGTTCCTTACCAAAAAAAAGATCATGAATAGAGGCTCTAGCGAAACCAATTTTGATTCCACCTAAGACAGTTTTCTGAGAAAACAACGGAAAGACGAGAATGGCTCCCCACCATCACTAGGTGTTCGAGCAGAGGCTGAGGACCCAACCAGAGGAAAAGGGGGTGAACTATGATGACCCACCTTGCTACAACCCAAGTCTAGTTTCACAGAAAAACATGAAATAATGTCCCTTATAAGAAAATAACTGGTTCATACACTATGGTCAGATCCTTCTTTACTTTTTTTGAGAAACAAAAGTAGCCCGTAATGCCTTCAATTATCAGCATAGCTGTACACATGTGTATTTGGACATTATCCCAGGGGAAAGAATCCACAGCTTTTTTCAGCTCCTCAGAGATAGGTGACTCTCAAATATCTAAGAAGGTCCTTTCCAACCCAAAGGTCAACTCACAGGGATTGGCAAGCATTTCTGTAAAGAGCCAGAAAGAGTATTAAATATTTTAGGCTTCAGGAGATACATATAGTCTCGGTCACATCTTTTATTTTTTTTTTTAAGATTTTTAATTTTTTTCCTTTTTCTCCCCAAAGCTCCCCGGTACATAGTTGTATATTCTTCGTTGTGGGTCCTTCTAGTTGTGGCATGTGGGACGCTGCCTCAGTGTGGTTTGATGAGCAGTGCCATGTCCGCGCCCAGGATTCGAACCAACGAAACACTGGGCTGCCTGCAGCGGCGCGCGCGAACTTAACCACTCGGCCACGGGGCCAGCCCCACATCTTTTTTTTTTAACTTGCTTTAAAAATACAAAAATTAGGGGCCAGGCCCATGGCTGAGTGGTTAAGTTCATGTGCTC